TCACCTCGGGCGTCCCCTACACTTCCGTCGACATCGCCGAGCGCCTCGATCTCGAGCAGCGCATCATCTCGGACAACAAGGCGTCCTCGTCCGCCACGGCTCTCGCCGCCTACTCGAAGCCCGGGAAGTCGGTGCCGTCGCAGAAGACGTGCACCAACGCTAAGTGCCCGCGTCCGAACGGTCATACCGCTCCGGAATGCTGGGCTCCGGGTGGAGGAATGGAAGGACGTCGAGAGGAGGTGCTGGCGAACAAGAAAAAGGGGAAGGGACCGGGCAAGGCTAGCTCCGGCGCCGCCTCGGGGACCGACCGTGACAAGATGGGGCGGGCGTACATCGTGGATGGTAAGACCGGCCACGCTTATCTCTTGAGCACAGTCCCACCGGCATCCATGTCCTCTACCTCTCAGGCTGATGACGCCACGTCCGAGTCCGACTTCGCTGGGCTGACGACTGACGCGTCTCCCGAATGGCTCGCGTCTGTTGCTGTGCCGGCTGACCTCTTCGAGTACGACGCTCTGGTGTCTGTTGAAGACGAAGAGGCCGTCTCTCTGAACTGGTCCTCACACTCTCGGGCTCCGTCTGATCCCACGGCTTTCTCGGTGGCTCCAGTGCCTGTGGCTGCTCGCCGTGTCTCTACTGCTGGACTGAGCCCTTCGTATTCGACTCGGGCGCCTCCACGCACTTGTCTCCTCGTAAGGCCGACTTCCACGACCTTCGTCCGATTGCTCCGCGCGGCATCCGTGGCGTCAGCGGCTCCGTCATCTTCGCATGCGGCGTTGGCAAGGTCCGCCTGCACATTGGCCGTGGCGCTTCCATCGTTCTCGACAACGTCCTCTATGTGCCGCAGGCTACGGTTCGCCTGATTAGCATCTCGGCTCTATGCAGCTCGGCGACTCGGTACTCCGTGCTCTTCACCAACACCGGCGTTCGTATCCTCAAGCCGGGCGGGGCCATCTTGGCTTCCGGCACTCTCACGTCCAAGCGTCTTTACTCTCTCGACGGTGCTCCTCCTTCCACGGAGCACGCCATGTACTCGGCTCGGGTCCCGACGCTCGAAGTCTGGCACCGCCGCCTGGGCCACGTCAACCATCGTACCATTCACGACATGGCTCGTCTCGGGTCGGTCACAGGTATGCCCATCATCCTCTCCCCACCAGCGAAATGTGAACATTGCATTCTCGGCAAACAGACGAGAAGTGCGGTTCCGAAGGTGCGGGTGGGGGAAAAGGCAACTAGGGTCCTGGGTACGGTGTTCGTGGACGTGCAGGGGCAGCAGGACGTGCGTTCCGCCTCTGGGAACTTGTATTCTATGAACGTTCTCGATGATTTCACGTCCCACACATGGGCTGTTCCTGTGCCATCCAAGGTCATTCTCGACCGCTTCAAAGCAGCTGTGAGGTCGAACTGCGAACGTCTGGCTCGTGCAGATCGACAACGGCGAACTTCTCTCCAACGAGTTCAAAGCGTGGATCGAGAGTCGCGGCTCGCAATGGCGAACCACCGCGCCGCACACATCCGCACAAAATGGTCGTATCGAGCGTTCCACCGCACACTGATGGACCGGCGCGTGCTATGCGCCTGGCTGCTGACGCCCCGCCGAACCGCTGGGACGAGTTCCTCGTCACCGCCAACTACTTGTCAGTGCGAACTCCTTCTCGCTCGCTGCCGCCTGGCGTCACGCCCTACGAGATGTGGCACGGGAAGAAGCCCGACTTGTCGCATTTGCGCGAGATCGGCTGTAGGGCATTTGTGCTCATTCAGAACAGGCACAACCCGAAGATTTATGAGCGGTCAGTGGAATGCGTTCTCATTGGGTATGGACAACACTCGAAGACGTATCGGCTATACCACCGCGGCACCCACAAAGTCGTCGAGTCCTTCCATGTGTCCTTCATCGAGTCGCATGAGGCCCCTTCGTCGTCTCCACCATCGACTGTCCGTGCACTTCCTGCCCCCGTTCCGTCTGATGTTGTCGATTCCGATGACGATCTCGTGGCTCCTCCGGTGGATCCTCCTGTGGCCGACGTCGCGCCGCTGCCGTCTGCGCCCTCTATGCCAGCGGTGAACCAGCCGCCTCCTGCACTTCCTCCGGTGCTGCCGCCTCCTGTCGCTCGTCCTCAGTCGCCTCCTGTCCGTCGCTCCTCTCGACTGCCCATGCCGTCCCAGAAGGGTGCTGCCGCCTCGGGGGTCCCTTTTGTCTCGCGCCTCGATCGTACACTGGATCGTATGCGCGCAGCTCCGCGTCCTGCATCTCCTTCTGGCATCCCGGCTCCTGCTCTGCCTGCTTCCGTCCCTGTCCCTCATCGCTCGAAATTCCTCCGGCTGTCGCTGCTCGCGAGCCCTCCGCCGACGCTCTGCCGGACGTTGAGTCCGTGTTAGCGGCACTGGCCAACGACGACGTGCTGCCGCTGAATGTAGAGTACCCGGGAGACCCCGCGACTCTGGCAGAAGCTGAAGCCTCTCCGTTCCGGGATGAATGGCGCGCTGCCCTTCGGGATGAGCTCCAGTCCATCAAAGACCTGGGCGTATACCGGCTGATCCCCCGGTCCCAGGTCCCGGCTGGCCGTCGCGTCATGAAGGGCAAGCCCGTCTACCGTCTCAAGAGGAACGAGAATGGGGACCCGGTGCGTTTCAAAGCACGGTGGGTGGCTAAAGGCTTTCAGCAGGTGTACGGCCAGGACTACAACCGTACTTCCTCACCTACGATGCGCATGGAGTCCTTCCGCGCGCTTTTGCACCTCGCCGCGTCTCTGGACTGGGAGGTCGAGCAGCTCGATGTCAAAACCGCCTTCCTCTATGGTGTCCTTCCGGAGGACGAATACTGCTACATGGAGCAGCCTTCGGGTTTCGAGGAACCTGGTAAGGAGGGCTGGGTATGGGAGCTGGTGCGTGGTATCTATGGCACTAAACAGGGGAGTCGAACGTGGAACGACACGATGAACGCGCACCTGCTGAGCATCGGTTTCACTCGCCTGCCTTGCGAATACTGCGTGTATTTTCGCAAGACTGAGCGGGGGACTGTTCTCACAGGCGTCCACGTCGATGACTTCCTCCTCACGGCTAGCTCGGCTGCCGCTAAGGAGGAGTTCAAGGACGACCTGCGTCGCGTCTGGAAGATTGCTGATCTGGGCGAGGCTCGCTTTTGCGTCGGCATCCAGATTGATCGTGACCGCGCCCGTCGTACGGTTGCCGTCTCGCAGACTGCCCTGATTGACAAGATCATCAAGCAGTTCCGCTTGGACGGCCCCGACTGTGCTCCGGTGTCGACGCCTATGGAAGCCGGCCTGCGTCTCTCTCGTACCCAACATGCTCCCAAGACCCCTGCCGCGAAGGAACGTGCCGCGCGTCTTCCTTACCGCTCGCTGATCGGCTGTCTGATGTACCTCGCCATTGGCACTCGTCCCGACATCGCGCTCGCCATCCAGCATCTGAGCCAATTCTTGGACTGCTACGCCGAAGTTCACTGGGAGGCCGCGAAACGCGTCGTCCGGTACCTCAAGGGCACGCGCCATTTTCGACTGCACCTCGGCGGCGCTGACGTGGCTAACCTCAACGGCTACGCGGATGCAAGTCACGCCAGTTGCATCGACACTCGTCGCTCCACCGGTGGGTACTGCTGGAATCTCGGATCGGGCATCATCTCCTGGTCGGCTCGCAAGCAACCCACGGTGTCGACTTCTACAACTGAGGCGGAATACGTCGCGGCCGCCGAATCATCGAAAGAAGGCGTCTGGCTTCGTTTCCTACTCGAAGGCCTCGGTTTCCCTCAGCACTCTGCGTCGCTTATGCGTGTCGACAGCACGAGCGCCATCACCCTATCCAGCGACTCCACCTTCCACTCTCGAGTGAAACATATTGACATCAAATGGCACTACTTGCGCGAGGTCGTCGTCGCCAAGCGAATCACCATCCAGCACGTCCCCTCTCATCTCAACGTCGCCGACGCATTCACGAAGGCTCTCGAGCGCAAGCCCTTCCAATTCTTGCGTGGGCTCATGGGCCTCAGGCCTCCATGCGAGGAGGAGTCTTCTAGGTGAGGAGGAGTTCCTCAACAGGAGGAGTCCTTCTTCTCGTTAGCATTTCTGCGTCACCCATTCTCTTTTTCTCTCTCTTCGATATCTCACGGACTACTTTCCTGCGTCATGATTCCTTACGATACCGCTCTCATTTTTCCTCACACGCGATACCTACGTCTCATGCGATACCTACAGTACTTTTCTCTTCCCCCTACGTACATCACGTTTCCCCCCGTCGTCTCTCTCGCCATTCGCGCCGAGGAGGAGTGTTGAGTTCGCGCCGCGATCTCGATCTCCGCCACCGGGCACGTGACGTACCGCCGGGGGCGGTTCGTCTTCTCGTCTCTCCCCCTTCCCTTCTCCTCAGTCGAATTGTACCGCGACTGAGGTGAGACCCAAATCATTACTATACGTTAGGATTGTACTGACTACCTACATAGAGTCTGACCGACGATTTAGGTAGATCAATGCTCAGTCGAATTGTACCGCGACTGAGAGTCTGACCGACGATTTAGCTTCTACATGCTCTGTTGTCTCATCTACCCGTCCTCCGTGTATGCTGCCCTGACAGACAATCTACCATTTTGCTCTCTGATGCACTGGCCCCGGGCCTCGCCGCGCTTGTCCTCATTCGGATGCGTGGCGAGTGGTGGTTCCTGGGTGTTATCTACCCTTCAGCGGTGCACGGTCAAGTTGTCAAATGTTGTCGGGACTGAATAAACATGGCAGCAATGAGGTCCAGGAGAAGATTTCAATCGTCATTTGCAAGCCGGCAAACATAATCTGAAGAATCAATGTCGACGTGCAATGCCATTACTACATATCACGGAACAACGAATGTGATCAGCGATATACAAAATAGTACTTGAGTTATATGAGAAGTAGAGTAACCACATCCAAGTCCGAAAGCCCATCGTCATTAAGTAAAAAACGGGAAGTCAAGTCCAAAGATGTTCGTCACTCATAGTCCTTGCGAATCGTCCTTCATGCCTGGACAAGGTGCACAGGCTGCTTCGTGCAGCTGTCGTACGTGTACGCGCCACCGTTGTCGCTCGACGCGCTGTACACCAAGACCCACGCCAGGCTCGGGGTCTGGCACACCGAGAACGAGTTCCCGTCGCCGTTCACCGTGAGCGTCGCGTTCCCACCCGCGTCAGACTGTCCCGCCAAAATCACCCGTCAGCTCGAGCCCCACACCCCACCGCAGAGCACTCACCACAGCGCAGTAGGGCGTCTGGCCCGCGCCCGCATTCGCCGAGCCGTTGTTCGTCACCGCGAACTCGACGATCGACCCCGCCGAGACGGGCATGTCGCTCCCGACGAGCCCCGTGTCCGGCGAGCTCGGCGTCGGGATGAGCGCGCCCTTCTCGAGCGTCCAGCCGGAGAAGTCGCCCGACGCGGTCTGGAAGATCTCCTGAGACATCGAGAGCGGGTGAGCACCCTGCAGTCGCTGGGAGAGCGGATTGCCTGCCTCACCTTCAACCACCAGAGGCCGTTCGAGTCGCCGCTGACGAGCGCGAGCGGCGCGCCGGTGTACGTAGGGTCGTTCGTGACCGACGGGTTGATGACCGTCAATTTGAAGTTGTAGTCGAGCGAGCTGGTCGCGCCTACGCCGAGGGCGGTGCAGGGGTCCTGGCGGGCGTTCAGTACGGCGGGCATGGCGAGGGCACTGGCGGCGAGGGCGACGGGCAAGACGGTGAATGCGAACATGACGGTCAAAGCTTGAAAGGGTTGGAAAGTGAATGAAAGAAGAGGCTTTGGTCGAGGTGAAAGTGTTGGAGATCGTTGACGATGCGAAATCCGAGGCCGCAGTCGAGCTGTATTTATGCCTACAAAGACTCGGGATACGCGACGAATGCGATGACGCATTGCGCACCGTGTACCCTTCCGTCGCGGCGAGCAACAGCCATGAAGCCCACCGGGGGAGTAGCCAGCACCGCTACGGGGCATGCTGCCCGTACATGCGGGCAGGCGGCAGGGCTTGGCAGAATGTTTGCCTGGGGATTACGTGTTGCTCGCTCTGAAACCATTCAACGCACAGCACTAGTCCAGCTTCCCGCTGCCCATTCCTTCCTACATGGAGGCCTGCTCGCGCTACTCACCTGCCCGCGGTGACCAATAAGTACCAGCCACGAACGGTGCAGCTCACAGACTCAGAGAGACCAATGTGGCGAGCTCTTGGTTGCACAGCATGCATTCCAAATCAAAATGCAGTGCCAATATGTCGGTACATGAGCGAGGCGTTGAAACAAATATGCGCCTACGTACCCTCCGATGTTTCAGAAATACACAGGCATGCAGTGGAATACTCACTGACGACGTTCGGCGACCCATTCCTACAGGAGGCCGCATACGCTAGCACGCTAAGCGTATCCAGAGGTTCACTCTGTCCTAGTTGACTGCTCGGACAGTTATCCAGGCTTGAGTCGGCCGCAGGCGAGACCGTCCTTGAAGGCTATCCAGGCTTGCGATTGGGGTATTTTTACTTCTCGAGGAGCCCCCAGGCTCAGAAGCGGCAGATCTCATTCACGACTATGGAGTTGCTGACTCCGGGGATGGACGAAATGGTGTGACTGGCATAGCATATAAGGGGACAGGTCATAGTGGGCGAAAGCCACCATGTAGCGTCGGCGCTTGTCAGTAGACAGTACGCATTCGCGATAACGTGACCGTGTCGACGCGCGTCGCTAATAGTCAGCTACAGACAAGACAAACTGGGATCGAAGGTGCTAGGATCCCGGTCGCCACTCGCATCTAGCTATGACTGGAACAGAGTCTACACGGTCTTTGCCCCAATCTCGCCCTCGCCAGCATCCTCCGCGTCTTCGACCTTCTCTGGCTCCGGTGAAGCCGTGGCCGCCGGTGCGGGCGAGGTGTGGACCGGTTTGCGCACCGCCAAACCGCCGGCGCACCCAAACCAGCGGCCTTTCGGGCAGTGGGGCCCGCGGAGGAGGAGGATCAGGCCCTGCAGGCCTGTCAGCGCGAGCGCCATGCCGTAGCACGCGCGCCAGCCGTAGCGCAGGAACACCGTCGTGCTCGCGGACGTCCCGATCATCTGCCCGATGAACAGCTGCCAGCGCGGGGCACGCGTCAGCCGGGGAGCGGGCAGACGCGACTCGGAGGGAGAGAACGCACCGAGACGCTCATGACGGCGTTGATGCGTGAGCGCGCACGCGGGTCGACCCTGCGCGGTGTCAGTGCGGGCAGCCTGAGGGAGAGGCGCAGGGAGGAGAGAGAGGGCTCACGCGAAGGCCATGTTGACGAGGGAGACGGCGGTCGTCTGGCGGAAGACGTCGAGCCCTAGCGTCGCGATTATGACCGGTGCGATGTTCAGGCCCGCACCGATGACCATGACGGCCTGGAAGACGAGCAGCGCGCCATCCGCCGCGACCGCGCCCCACCACGGGTAGATGAAGTCAAGGATGCGGCCGAGGAACGGGCCGAGCAGGACACCGAGCATGCCTAGCAAGCCGAATAGGCCGATATCCAGCCTGGGTACGCACTGTTATCAGCCTCAGAGAACACTGGGTACGGAGTGGGCTTACGAGGAATAGTGGAAGGGCGCATGGAGAAGCAGGAAGGTGAGCGTCACCCAGAAGTTGGTGAAGCATATGTTGCTGACGATCATACAGAGCGCACACTGGATTAGGAGTGGGTGCGTAACAAGGAGCTTTGCCATGGACCAGAGGATGCCGGCGTACGAGAGCCCAAGGTTTTTGGGCGGCACATTCGGGATGATGAAGTATGCGACGGCGAGCACGGCGAACTGGAGCCCGGTCGCGAGCCAGTACACGGCGCGGTACGTGACGAAGTTGGTGATGACACCGGAGAGGACACGCGCGAAGAGGACGCCAAGCATCAGGGCAGCCCAGACGATTGCGGTTGCGCCTGCCTTGCGGTCAATGGGCGCGAGGTCGGCGGCAAGCGGGATGAGGATCTGCGGGACACAACTGGTGAAGCCGACAAGGAAGGTAATCACTTCGAACACGACAAGTGAGCGAGTGATCGCAAGTCCGATGGTGAGGGACGCGGAGATGAGCACGAGCAGGAGGATGAGTTGCCGCCGCTGAACCATGTCACCGAGCGGCGTGACCAGGAGGAGCCCGCCGGCATAACTGAAGCGCGTCAGCTCTGCCGTGCAACTTGGACACTGTAAATGAGTGCGTACCCTGCCTAATATGACTGTCAGTATATGTGTCACTGGCACACGATACAGCGTGAACATACCTGCACCAACGTGGGGATACTGCAGCGGAATGAAGTCAGTCAAATTTGCTGACACCAAGAGTAACACTGACTTTGATACTCTGTCTTCAGAAATGCCGAACGAACTCGCAAGATTTCCTATCTACCGTTATTTGGTGCAAAGAGTAAACGGACAGCGTAACCTACCGAGGATAGGTTGGCAGTAATAGAGGTTCGATACCGCTGAGAAATAACACGTCGCATCGGAGTGAAGGTAGGTCAGCGGCGGACGTACTGAAGCAGGCGAAGATGCCGAACATGGCATTGAGGAAGAGGCCAAAGTGTAGTGGCTTGTCTTCTTGGTGGCGGAGCCAGATTGGCACGGGGAGCACGCCAAAGTCTCTCTGGTGAGTGGGCCCCATGGCGTTGGGTGCATTTGGAGCAGTCGCCATCGCTAACTTGAAGTGCAAGTTGAACGTGCTCGGTGGGTGTGCGCTCGAAACGAGGGTGCGCGGACAGTGTGCTAGCGGACGAAGGCATCACGCAGGACGCCTTAAGTTTCTTTGGAAAGAGCTGCTGAGTAAGGATCGTCAAGGGCGGCGTTGCTGAGGAAGCACAGAGCGTTCCTCAAACTCAAGTCGTCGGACACAACAGCAAGCATCGCCGCAGGATGCGGACTCGGACACACCATCCTTGGAGATCGAGATCGAGTGGCGCCGAGGGCGCTTCTGAAAGCGACTTACTGTATTTGGACCAATGCCTCTAGAGTTCATCTGCAGTCGCCTCGGAAGTGGGGCTGAGCCAAGTTTGCTGTTGGACTGAAGGTGCTCAGCACCTGAGACACCCGGAATCTCCGACTTCGACACTCGGTCAGTCGAGCATTACAGTAAGTGACCCCAATCTTACATGTGGTGCCTTTACTATGTCAGTTGCGGAGGTTGGCCAGCAATCCTCGAAATGACCGTGGTGGCCGAGATCTCGGGCCGATGCAGTAACCAGCGAGGCGAATTGAATATTGAAACTCGAGTCCATCTGTCTTCAGCTTACATTTGTTTCTCAGTTTTTCTTCCGACAGTCTCGGTGAGTTGCCAATTACCCAGGTCAATACATGACATTTTGGCACCAGGTCGCACCCTAGTATTCGCACACTTGTTAAGTGACCACTTAAGTCGAACAGTCCTGTCATCGACGTTGAATATTGAATTGATCATCGTGGCTCAGATTGGGGGCGAAAGACGAAATGGTACCACCGTCTCTACGCCCGCGGCGCCCGGCGAACGTTCAACATGTTGACCTTCTCGAGCGCATCCACCCTAGGCGACTCGGAGCCTGGCTTGAATTCCACCTTTGATGGCAGTGTCCCCGCGCACCTGCATCGCGCCGCACGCATCTGGTCGCTCGAGGCGCTTCAGGCGTGCACCCGAGTATCGCCATGAGGCTCTCTGCGATGTCCGATCGGCGGTCGCGTGGGCCCGGGCCGATTACAAGGAGATCTCATGCGACCTTTTTCACCTACCTCAACTCTTTTGGAACAGTCACCTCATTAACACTCGAGCGATGTCGCTTCCGCCAGGCCGAGGTTATACCGAATATCGTTGGCGCTCTGCCTAGTCTTAGAAAACTCGCCCTCCTCTCGATTACGGTTCATTCTGCACCTCAGGCTCTCAATAGTATAGGGGAGAGCCTCCTGCCCTCTGCAAAGCGGAAGCTCCGATCACTGATGCTTTTCGGGTGTGTCAACAGAGACTACGCCTCAGGGACTGCTCACATCGAGTTGTTTCACCAAAGCGTGCTCAATGCCCTGGCCTTGTACACGAACGTTAACGACCTGTCGCTGGACATGACCCAATTCTTCTCGCTCTCACATCTCTTGCAGTTCCTCCGTGCCTTCCCCGACATCGAATACATATACTGTCGGAACGTGCCAGAATGGGAGCTTCCGTCTGACGAAGCCATATTCAAGACAGTGGTCAAGGATATGAAGGCATTTACCAATGTCACTCTTGTTTGGGTGTCTTCAGCCTTTGCGACACTATTCTTCAAGCTGTTCGCGAAGCAGTGCTGCGAGCTGCGGATTCTTTATATCGGTCTCGTGGACGTGCCCGGACCCGAATTCCAAGCTGCCATCGACAAGGTGCTGCAACAATCTGGGGCAGTTCTTCACACATTCAGATGCGAATACAAACATCGAGAACAAGTGAGTTCCGTGTATACCTACGTGCTATAGGCTACATACTAATGTGTCACAGCGTACCAAGCTGGGTGTTAGTACTCCCTCGCTCGTGTACAACACCGCACTAGAACATCTAGATGTGACCATCACTGTAGCGTCGTTACTGCGCACATCACGGATTTACAAGACACTCCTATCTCTGTTCACGCAGCTTAGGAGCCCGTGTTTGAAACACATGTCCATGCAATTCTTCTTACAAAAGCCTGGCGACGTGCGGCCTGGTGTCGACCTCGACACAGATATGGAGACCGCTTCCTCGGACATCGCCATCTTCCACGCTGCGATCTGTCACGAGATATTTTCTAGCCTACTCCCTGGGGGCATAACCCTGATATTCAGGCGTCTCAATAGCCCCTCCTTGGGTACGAGCCCGTTCGATGCCGAGCCAACACCCTGTGAACTGTCCATGGCCATCCAATCCTTCGTGGTCCCCCTCTTCATCCCATGGCTATCCCGTGGGGTTGTGAAGATTCAACTTCCGGATGAATCACTCGTCGTGGATTCACCACGCCCAGAGAGCGAAACTCCGGAGGTTCAGTCGGACAACTCCTCCGAGCGCGCTGTCGATGCCGTCGTTTTGCCCTGCGATCATGGATATCATCTAGATACTCAGTGTCATTGCGTAGAGGTGAGGCTCACCATTATGCAGACGGTCAAATTCTTATTGTGTATGTGTATCATGTATAGACATCAGCCGTGCTATGATTTCGTCACAGTGAGAACTTGTCGGGCACGCAAAGCTCAGACAGGGCGATACAGGCCCGAACGAGCCTCGCTCGTAATCGCGTTATTGCCAGAGCTCGACCAGGATGGATACGCTACGCGGTTTATTCCACTCGACTCCTTGTTGTCCACTTCTATGCTTCCATTTCGCGAGTTGCTATCACTATCGTACACTTGTGAGTCATACTTCCTACTGTACCATGCATCGCATGCCTGGACTCTGTACCCATTTTGCGAGGAAACCATACTCGTCTGCGTGTCGCACGCACCTTTGCTCCCCACCCGCGCGTTCCAATCAAGTTATCGCTTACGAGTGGCCATACACCGCGATCGGCTTGTACGCCTCCTCGAGGTACTTGACGTCGTCCGGAGTCAGCTCGACGTCCAGCGCGTCTGTCCGTCGAGCACCGTCAGCACCTCAGAGACGCAGACGGGGACTGGGGCGCACCGATGAGCTCTTCAAGGTTCTTGAGGCTCGTCGTGCCCACGATGGGCGCCGTCACATCTGCAACGCAAGACGCGTCCACATCAGCAGCACGAACGCGGAGCCGCCTGGCTCAAGGGGACAGTCTACGGGCACTCACCGTCCTTCGCCAAGCTCCACGCAAGTGCGACCTGCGCCATGCTCACCCCCTTCTTGCCCGCGAGCTCCTCCACCCTGCATACCCGCATCAGCAAGGCAAAGCACGTTCGCCGCGGAGCAACGTACCGGGTGACGATGTCGGCGGTGCCCGCCCACGTCTTGTACGGGCCCGTGAAGCTGCAGGACGGCCAGATGAGCACGAGCGACTGCGGGAAGAGGAAGCGATACTGACGCGTCGGTCTCTCCGCGCTTCGTCTGCGCGGAGAGCGGGCGGGTGAGGACGCCGCGGCCGAGGGGCGACCACGGGATCGCGCCGACGCCGAACATCTGCCCGCAGACTGTCAGACCGAAGGGACGCAGGAGAGCCGGCGCGGGGAGACGGCACCTTGAGTGTGGGGAACATCTCGCGCTCTTCCTCGCGGTAGACGAGGCTGTGGTGGTTCTGCATGGAGATGAACGGTGTGAGCTTGTTCTGGATGGCGTAGTCTGTCGGCGCGAGTACGGTGTCAGCGTCGAGATGTGTTCTTTTTGAAAGCAAGGCGGGGGTGCGCACTCTGCATGGCGTGGACTATGTTTCGTCAGCATCGCGGGGTGAGGTGCCGTCAGAACGGATACATACACTGGTAGGCATGGCACGAGCTCATGCCAATGTATCGGGCGTACCCGGCCTGCACGACGTCGTGGAGGGCTTGCATCTGCGGATGGTCAGAGTGGGTTCGGATCCGCTGATACGGCATCCACTAACCGTTTCCTCGATCGGCGTATCGTAGTCGAAACGATGGCCTGGTAGGAGCATATGTCAACATCGAAGAAACCAAGCGGTTTGCCGCGACTCCGAGACGTACACTGGAGAACGTCGACGTAGTCGAGCTGCAGACGCTCGAGGCTCTTCTTGATAGAGTCGAAGATATGCTGGAAGCACACCATGTCACTATATGCGCGCCGTCTAAGTAAGCCCGAACGATGGATCGCACCTTGCGGTTCAGACCCTTCTGGTTGATGATACCGTGGTCCGCCGCAGTTGCCAGCGTCACGTCCATGCCGAATTTTGGCGCGATTGGGAACCACACCTACGCATCGTCAGCGGAGCGACGGGCTTGTGAGTGGGATGGGCTGACCTTGGTGAGGATGACGAGCTCCTCACGGGGCAGCTTAAGCTCCTTGATAGCCTTGCCGAGCATGACCTCGGAGCAGCCGTTCGAGTACATCTTGTTGAGAGCGGGTCTGCGTCAACCGTAGGCATACACGGGATGCGCAAAGAAAGGACGTACATTTGCTGTATCGAATGTCTGGATGCCGTGGTCATAGCTGTCGTCCGTGTTCATCGAGAGGCGCGATACAGGGGGTCGAGTGAAGGGCTCACGCGTATTTTATGTGCCTGTTGACCTCCTCCTGATCGTCAATGACCCACTCTCTCCAGCCCTTGTGGCCGTACGACATACATCCCAGGATGATCTTCGACACCTTCAGGCCAGACTTGCCCAGGCGGACTGTCGACATCGGACGCGTCAGAAACTGGGACGGAAGATGCAAACAGAGAACAGTTTGCTCACCATATGGCACAGACTTCTTTGCGACAGACATCTCGATGGTAGACAGGGAGTACTAGGCGCAGGATAGTGGGTGGAGGAGATGAAGGTTGGGGTCAACTGCTAATAAGTGCTGTCGATGTATATATGCCGAGAACGGTGTGTGCGTCATGGTGACTAAGTGGGAACGAAGAACGACAAGTCGGAGGAGAGTGGGGACCAGCATATTGATCATGTGCCCATCCCAGCCGAAGTGAACCTTGTACCGTTCGAATAATCCATGTTGCCTTGCTATCGACGGTGAGTACATACAGACTGCTATACGATGCAGCAGAAAGGCACTCTCCGAAACAAGTTACAAAATCTCCTCCAGCTTACAATCAAATCCTCGAAAATCCACTGAGGGTTCCGGTCGCGCCCACGTGACCGACACCGTCCGTAGATCTTTCAAACTGCCACTTGAAGACTCCGATGGTCACTTCTCGACACTTCCTTGAACCTTCGCCGCCCACACTGTTGCAGCGATGAGTATCATGTATAAGTACTTCCTTTGTCCGAGTTTCTCTGACCGGGTATGTACTAGTAGAACTGACTGGCAGTCGCCTTCCACCAGACGTTCATAGACATGCTCGACGCGCGGGACGCCACGCGCAAGTAGGCACACTACACGGACAACTCCCTTACCCTCCCTTACCTACCTGCCGAGCGGTCGGCTATTCTGCCAGTGGTACGAGCATTGAGGCCGATGATGGGTGCGACGTGTAGGTCGCGATCTTCTCCGCTGTGCTTGAAGTCAACGTGCATTTGGCATGACACTTCAATTGACCCCTAACTGTAACATGCCGTGTTCGGGCCATAGAGTTCCTCACTCAACTTTTGGGGGGCATGTGTAGCAGGTTCAGCCACAAAACATTCAGGGTTATATTGTTAGTAGCCGTGTATAAGGTATCTCAACTTCATCACAAAAACTCGGACCCGTCGACTGGACCAGCCCATGTCAGAGTCCAGTCCGATTCTTCATCCGAATTTGTCATGCGACCCGACTAATGTTCTGCATACACATCAACAACCCGTCAGTTGGTACTCGCATCTACAGATAGAGCACGCACAAAAAGCAGTCCAGAATGCCAAGGGTAGCCAATCGCGGCATCCACTGGAGATACACCTGTTTCCAAGTCTTCTCCAAAGTTTCATGCGCAGCAATGCTGAAATGTTCCGCAGGTCGCATCTTCAACTCGAGACGGATGCCCCTTGCGGGTATATTCAAGTTCGCGAATGCCGTGCTGGACAGGGCATCGTTGAGACGCTTGAGATCATCCCGCCTGGACATAACGTGTGATTTGAGATTTGAAATACATGTGTTGGCCACCTTCAGCCTCTTGTAGTAGCTGAAACAAATGTGCACTTGGGATATAGTGTGAGATGAGATTGAGGAGAGGATCTCGGCCATCAAGCCGTAATGCGGGCCTTCGGAAAGCGGACAATCAATGTATAGCTTCATCAAGCTGGTTTGACGAGACAGGTCAACGCGGATGTCTACCAAAGAGTGGGCCACTAATTAGACGAGGTCTTATTGGTAAAAGGTCGGATGCTTACAGTCGGGGTAACCCACATCGACCCATCGAGTCTCACGAATACCGAGTTCCGGTAAATCAATCCGGACATCACAAAGACTCGGACCATAAGCGTCTAGCAGCAGCAGCCCTTGTTGGATGTGCCTCTTGCGAGTCGGAGAAGCATATGTCAACTTTCTAGCCGAAAGTATCGTGCTGAGTGTGGCCAAGGCATCGACTATCTCATTGGAAGAGTCGAACACAACGATCTCGCACTGGTGTTTATGAGGCAGTCGGGACGACGACATGACGCGCTGGTTGTCGAGACAGAAGACAGTGTGGCAGGCGAGGTACCGGAGATGCGGAAGCGCCAACAGCAGAGAGGCGAATTGGGAGGCCGTTTCAAACGCCACAAAGCGAAGCTCGAGGCGCGTCATGTTGGGATACGCAGAGAGATGCCTGATGCTGCCCGCGTGTAGAGAGCGGGCTGTCCGGAAGTCGACGTCGACCAGCGTCAGTGATCGCAAGCTTGGGAGCTGTCGCGCGAGCATCATCGCGAACGTAGACAGGTGGTCTGTAGATGATTTGACGATGAAGACGTGTTCAATAGGGGCCTGCCGATCAGGATGCCGGCGCAGGTGTCTCGAAAGCGAAGCGACGTGCTTGCGGGATGGCAGCCAGACGTCCCTGTAGAGATGGAACAAGGCGCGGATACGCCAAACTCGGCATACGAATGCGCAGGCAACGAGCGTGGCTCGCCAGAACAATTGTGGTTGATCGGACACTGGCATGTCAGCGTCGTCTTGGGCTATCGATGTGTCGATCTCGGGAAACGAAGCTCGCGACGCTATGCAGTCGATAACCTCCTCGTATACTTCAATTGGAAGGCGTGACCTCGGTTGGACGTCGTGTTTGCTCCCCCTGTGCGTGGTACGGCTTGGTAGACCCATCATCGCACGACGTCGTACGGAAGTAGCACCGCTGAACCAGAATGAGCTATACCAGCATAATTGATTTCCGTTCAAACTCACCTAGACATGACCGGTGGGGAGGACGGATGGTTGGACTGTGCAGAGACCCTAGCAGAATGCGGGCTATAATATACAGGGAGACATCGAGAAGCATACCTTAAATGAAACTCAATTAGAGCACGGTGAACGCGTGTATATGGTTAATTGGTAATGAGACACTTGGAGCTGTATTTCACAGCTGCGGAGCTTCGTGCCCCTGCATCTGAGCACAACATCGAGCCGGTCCTACAACATCACTCGAGACTCGGAGATCAGTTGCCAGTGAAGCTGAAGTTTGAACGTACGGAACGAGCACCGGGAATCGCCGGGCGCCCATAATCCAGCGTCGACCTGCGCAGCATTCAATGGGGTATCCCAAACCAGCTACTACAGTACATAGTAACATTCTGGACAGACAGACCAGCAGATAGGTGACAAAATTGGAAAGAGGGTTCAGTCCTGTGAACGAATATCCTCGCATAGTCAAACCCTTCGTATACGGCATACCCCTACGTGGACCGTCCTTAAAGCTTACTGCCTGAGTCTTTGAATCCAAGACATCCCGCGTCCATGACGAGGTATGTACCGTTCAATCCGATGTTCTGTGGATTCGTCACATCGTCAGCTGCGCTCGTAATGATGCATACGCCACACTCAGATATTATACGCACAAGACGTAGTCGAGGATCCCGCGGGCGGCCGATCGCGGCATTCTCTCGGACAGTATATGGGACCAGTATTCCTCGTCTCTCTGAAGCGCAGTTACGTGCGCATGGCGCGGATCCGACATCCTGAGTTCGAAACGGATCCCGCCTCTTGGGATGGAGGCGAAGTTCGGTCGTGACAAGATCTTGTCGATGAGCGGAAGGGCGTCGGTGTGCTTCATGTGATCAAGGAACACCATTGCCCATTGGTCCGACTTGTCGTTGAGTTTATGGTGGTTGAAGCGGAAGTGGGCTTGGGAGAATACGCTGGATGTGATCGTGGAGAGAATCGTAGAGACCCTGCTGAAGTCCGGATATTCTTTGTAAGGAAATTTGACGGAGAGATTCGCCAACAGCGATTGGCAAGAGAAGTCGATACGTGATTCTGACAAGGTGTCCATGTTAACCAAGCAACAATGACCATGCGAACGAGGCTTACCATTTGGAGAGATGACCTCAACGTCACGAAGAGATGCACCATATGCATCGAGCAGCCACTGAAATTGCCTATTGGTGTTCGGCACAGTCATCGACAACCAGTCGTGGTGCAACAGCTTCTCAACAGTTGGAGCGATTGTGCTTAGCTTCGTCAGAACATCGACGAGCTCGTCGTCGGTGTTGTACACGACCAGTTCGCGTACATGTCTGTGTGCCACGGAGTCGATGCTGGGGAATGGTACGATGAGCTGCCGCTGACGACAGCTTACATCAGTACAACTGATGTACTGGAGGTTCGGGAGGGCCGAGAGCAACGCTCTGAATTGCGACGCCGTCGTAAACGCCACGTCACGAAGCCGGATCTGCGTTACGGAGGTATATACAGAGAGGTACTTGATACTCTCTGCATGTATTGATCCCGTCGTTCAGGCGGCACGGCAAAGGCGGAGGGTCCGTACGTTGGGTAGCTGCCTGGCGAGCCTCGCTATGAATGTCGAAAAGTGAGGGATCCCACCAAACGGTTCGAGGCCATGCTGAGCCGGACCGCGGATGATGATATGCTTGATGGCTGTATGAAGCTCTGGGTCATGAAGAAGACGCTTGAAAAGGAACTCGACGCTGTCCCGGTTTGTCAGCCAGACCGACGAGTGCAAGTGGTACATGCTGCGGGTATGCCAGGCCTTGCAGACGAACGCACAGGCGATGAGCGCGAAACGCCATTCGGTCGCGTAATACATCCCGTAGTCCACGCCTCCCCCTCCGTGGGTCAATGCCCAGAAGGCAATGAGGTCAATGATCTCCTCGCAGACCTCGATAGGAATGCGGGCGAGCGGAGGAGGCTTCAAGTTGCGGTTGTGCAACTCGTCGAACATCGGTGCTTTATGTCGTGTTTGCATCCTGCGACTGGGCACCACAAGCAAAGATCTGTGATTAGTTGGAAATGACAATGTACTCAACGGCGTGCACTCACAAGTCGTCAAATATGAGTGTGGATGAGTTGGTCGAAGGTCAATGGGAGGAGTGCATGGGTCCCGCCCCGGAATATATAGTAGGGTTTAACATTTACGAAATCCTGTCAAGCGCACAGCTTGTCAATGACAGTCACTGGGCTAGAGTGCAAACAGCATCTTGTCAACACCGCGTGGGTCGACACGTCCGATCGAACGTCGTTCGGTGATGCCTGCCTTCGCGGCTTCGCTACGGAGAAGAGCACTTATCAGCAACACATCAACAGGCGTGCAGCTCTCAATCTGATGACAGGACTTCAAGACGCCCGTGAGGATTGTTGCAGCCAAGTGATGAGATGTGTTGTTGACAGAGAAACCGCAGTCGCCGACTCGGAGCTTGGGCACATCCAAGTTCTCGTATTATGTGAGTCGTCGGAACTTTCTGCGCAGGGGTCATCGAAAGCACTCTGAGAGGCTACGGTAGCAGACACGCACCTCGTAGGTATCATTTCTGCCCTTCAAATATCTCCATGTCATGATCGCATCTGCGGGCTCAGCGCCACTACGTCAGACATATGTGGCTGTGGAAACTGGACCCGGACATCATTATTGGGAGTATTGTGAGTCCTTGGTGCCGCCTACCTGCAACGACACTGCGTGGTCCGACGCAATTACATGCGATTCAATACATGGCAGCTGGTTCTTGTTCGTGAGATTGTACTCCTGGCTCCGCTGTCAGGCCTCTCGTAGGCAACCTTACCACTGGCACTGCCATTGTGGCAACGACTAGTCTCGGGTCCCTTGTTCTGCGCTGCGCATCAGAACCACACCATTCAATGAGCGTAAAGATGGATACCTGTGCTTGTGCTGCGGTGGACAGGTCATGAAATGACATAGCCACGATGACCGATGAGTCAAGACCGAACGTGGCCGACCGATGGACTGTGCAAGCCTTCTGTGGTTTATGGTTATGTCTGAAAGCACATTCTAGACGGGAGTCGGGAAATGCAGGATCAGTAGAAGGGCGTCCATGACTCAGTCGCAAGAGACCGGCGAACGAAAAGAATAGGTCGTTTGTCGAGAACAGTGAACGAAGGCCGAGGCACGGAATGCACATGCGGACAACAACTGCAGCAGTACGAGTCATTCAAAGTCAAGCAACGGATCCAATTACGAATACAGCGCACGATGAACGAGTCAAGAGATGGATTTGCTGGTCCAAGCTCCGCGGATGGTCGGGATAATGTCTGCGTCAGCCTTCAACTTGCTTCTCCAGGTACTGCCGGATCATTGTCAAGACCTCGAGCTTCGCTTTGGGTGCTATAGATGCTGGTGACCTCGCTGTTGACACGTTCTTGCTACTAGGATCGCACTGGACGTTACCTTCTGCTTGTGGCCGGAGTTGGGTGATAATCGTCTCCACCGACATTTTGTCCGCACTACGGGTCATTTCTAAACGGACTATGTTATATGCTGCGGCTGATATTTCCAAGCTGGGGATTACCTTTGCTCTTGTCTCGAAAGTCATCCAGCCATCCAGACTCGTTCAACTTCTGGGTGAGCACCCAGAATAGTCTGCAGGCGAGACACATGATGATATGTAAATGTGGTTGGCAAAGTCTGCGCACCTGTCGTACTCTCCATGCTCGGCCATTCGACGGAGGAGCTGAGGGTAGAGATCATTGCGTCCGTCGTTCCGGGCCATGGCCAGAGTCAAGCTACGAACAGGGCGCCTGCGGGAAATGTGATCGTACATGCAGACTTGCCAAATGCGGAAGCGACCTTTCTGCGTGAAGTCGCCCGCTCACGCCTCCCGCCACGACGACGACGACGACGACGAAGACGGGCCATGTTCGCCAACTCTTACAAGGCTGCATGGCGAAGAGCCCAGCGTATGGTGCGCTTTAACAGCACCGCCGCTGCTGCCCCCAACACCACTTCTCCGTGAGCCGTACATCCAGACTCATTTCTGTGAGACACCGCTGACGACCTGCAGAACGGCGGTGTCCGCAGGCCAGGATCCAGCCGAGCGGGCATACTCATCGGTCGTTGTGCGTGGTCGCGCGCTCTTTGCGCCTCACTACCATCCCAAAACGCACGGCGTGCCCGTCGCACTTATCCACTTCCGCTCCTACCACCTCGACCTCCTTAACGAGTTCACGCACTTCAGCGCTCACGCCGCCGCCGCACTCGGTATACCCATATCTAAAACGGTCCCTCTTCCGACGAAGCGCACACTCTGGACGGTGATCCGCGGCCCTTTCGCGCACAAGAAATCACAGGAGAACTTCGAGCGTCGCACGCACAAGCGGCTCATCAAGGCGTGGGACGCGGACATGGAGGTCGTCGACCGCTGGGCGAAGTACCTCGAGGAGCATACCATGGCTGGCGTTGGTATCCGGGTCGTGCGGTGGCATCGAGCGCCGGTGAGCATCGGGCGAAAGCAGTTCGATGCGGTTATGGGCCAAATGCGGCTTGGAGGGCCGACGAGCTCAGATCAGGTCAAGGCGCTGGGAGAGAAGATTGTGCAGCAGGAGTTGGCGGCGGTGGAGGGTAGGGAACAAGTAGAGGCTCCAGAAAAGATTTTGGAGACGGTATAATGTGAGTCGCGGGATAACTACCATATCATCGTAGCATCTGCTGTTTCTCTCATTTGATTCAAAACGTGCGCGAGCCAACTTTGCATCGGACTGCGGCCATACGACTCGTCCAAGCGTTCCATGCTCAAGCGTGCAATCAGGAGCTCGCGATCTTTCCCGACTTACCAGGTTAACACTTTCGTTCAACCTCATGCCGACTCGCTTATGTCGAGATTTTGAGGTACAACGTAAACGTTTAGACCCTCGTGGTATTTCTTTGGCTCTATGCACTGAGGGCAGGCACTGAGTACTGCACTATTGAGGAGGAGGGTACTGAAGCGCCAACATCTGGGATCCTCTCATGCGTCGGCCCTGCTCTCGGCATCTCAACTCAGCGTCAGTGTCGAATGATACCTGAGTCAGTTGTATGGTGCGTCCCTGTCCTTGCGTTTCTATGCTACCTTCACGCCGCGGTAATACTACATAGTGGATAGGTACTCGGAGTTCCTTTTAGGAGACCGATGGGGCGTACATATTGTATTGTCGTCCTTGGTTCGTACATGCGTTATATGCGCAGCGTCTGCTCACGCTGATGTCTTTGAAGCTGCATAAGCCGCTCGAACTGTCAATCTGAGCCGGGATATCGTGACCAGAAGGCAGACGGTCGAACCAGATGTCGCATGTCTTTTCTCTCACTCTGAACTCAGTGACCCAGTCGTCCCGCCCAGAGCTAGTTGCTGATCGAAAGCTGAATGGTATGTTATCAGTTTGAGGTATGCTCGTTCTACTCGCTGATATCTATCACTTCAGCGAACTGCAGGTCATTAATGACCGCGTCAAAAATCGTGTGACGCGCCTTGCTGACTCCCCTTGTACGTGGCAATCAAACATAAATTACTGAGCGAAGTACTGAGGCTTCGACCAAGCCATCACGTTTCCTCGGCCTCTTTGCGACAAAGAAACCCACTCCATCAACACAACCCCATCTACCTCTCGAATTATGCGAAGAAATAATCGACTGCATAGCTCTGCACATGGATTGAACCATGATATCGCCCGAGCGTAATCCGTGGCGACATACTCTCCTGTCGTGCCCGCTGGTGTGCAGAGACTGGCATCACTATCCCCTATTCTACCTGCGAGAGTATGCGGAGTTACGGGACCGCCAGCAGGTCATTGCCCTCTCTAACCACCTCCGTGCCAAATCACGCCTCGGCGGGGCTGTCAAACGTGTCACCATATTCGGCGGCTCGGATCCGGACGTGGCCAAGCCCGTCCCGCAACTCGGAACATTTACTCCCATGCTGGCCAGAAAACTCCCGAATTCAGAGGTGTTGCAGATACGGCACGCAGAACTAGCTCTGGGAGCGGTCCCACTGGCCAGTATGCGCCGCTTAACAGCGTTCCCTTCTCTCACTGTCCTCGAGCTCACATCCGTCCACTTCTCTAGTCCCTCACAGCTGGTGCAATTGCTGTCTGCCATCCCAACCCTTCGTTCCCTGATCAGCAGGAGAGTGTTTTGCAAATCAACATGGTCACATACGTCGGTCCTACCGCTCCATATTACCCATCTGCGCAGGATGGGCGTTTGGCACGATCATGCACCCGCCATGATGTCCCTGCTCACCAGACTGGTTAGAGCGGCGCAGGTGGAAGACCTCGAGATCGGCGTGGATGGTTGTACAACGTCTCTGGGCGGCGGCCAGAGGTGGCATCAACTTGTCGATTCAACGGCGCCATCTCTCAAGGTATTCCGCCTCGTATGCGACACCAACGGGATGCCAGTCGCAGCATTTACAAATATGGGTGAGCTCCGTTACCGCTCATTAATGTCGGTACGCTGAAGGTGCGATCAACAGTGCAATCCGCCAGGCTACATTGGCACCTGAACCTAGAGCACCTGTCTCTGAAGTCGCTGGTAGTCAGAAATGCTGATCACTGGTGGATGCTTCGGGTGCTCTCTACGGTCCAGTCTGCCGCGATACGTACGGTCAGTATCTGTTTCACCGTCGGCGCCGATACGGCCGCACAGGTGCGCGCATTGCTCACCGAATTCAACCGGAATAACTACCTCAAAATCCTGGACGGGACATTATCGGGAAGCACCTTCGCCAGCATTCCTCCGACCGGGGTCTGCCTGACAATCAGTATTCCAGCATATGCAGTCCCCGATAGTAAGCTGGGGATTCACCTGGGGGCGGGACATGGCACAAAATGAGTCAGTCGAGCGAGCGGGGCATTTTACGGTGCGTATTCTTCAACCAACCCATCAGGGATGTGACGTGGTACTGATTACACTTACAGGACGCATGTCCATCGCACTTCGGACTCATTGTGAGATTCCGAGTCAGACATCATACATGATGTATATGCTCTACTCGCGCAAGTGATTTGTGCCAGTCGAGTGTTGCTTGTCCCGCCCTGCGCCTGCACGTACCATGTACAATCAATTCTGGGTTAGCAGTGGAGAGGCCGGTTTCCCAAAGTTGAAGGTGAATAACGTACAGTACCTCACGTCGTTGAGATGTCAAGCGTGCTGGATGTTGTACATACGCCTGGTACTACGCTAATGGCAAGTATGTAACAAAACTGCAGCGTAATATTACTGGCGCTTATTTAAGCTGCATTCTCGCGGTAGGCCGGGCGCCTACGCAGACAAACAAGCGCCTACGCACTCTGACCTGAACTCCAACCTCCTCGACGCATCCTCGCCATGGCTTCGCACGACAACGACCCCTTCTACCTTAGGTAGGAAGAACAGTGCCTGGGCGTGTGCGCAACCTGCTCACGCCCGCCCCCTGACTTAGATACTAGTAAGTGCCCTTCAGATATCTTATGCGAGGCTTTTCTGACGCGTCACCCAGCACCGGCCACTCTGGAAAACACGGACACGAGTTCCTCGAATTCGAGTACTCGCATGGTCGTCTCCGATACGCGAACAACTCCAACTACCGGAACGATAGCTTGATTCGCAAGGAAAGTCAGTGCAATCATCTTCTTTAACTTGCGCCTGCCGTAGGATGCTCACCGTCTGTCAGTGTGGGTTGGGCCGCTGGTGGTGAAGGAGTTGAAACGCATCGTGGAATCGAGCGAAATCACAAAGTGAGTGTCTCTGCACTGTAGTTGTTATCGCCTTCCGAACTCTGCTCTTTGTCGCCAATAGAGAAGACGACACGAACTGGCCCAAGAAAAACATCGTTGGCAAGCAAGAGCTCGAGATTCGGGTAGGCAACGATCACATCGCATTCGAGGTACGTGCTCCACCTGATGGGGATTGCGTCGCTACACTCACAATGTCGCACAGACGGCCAAGCTAGGGTCCTTGGTTGACATCCAAGACAGTGAGGACCCTGAGGGGCTGCGAGTCTTTTATTACCTTGTCCAGGATCTGAAGGTATGCCGCACCATGCGCTCTTGCGCGCGATGTCGCTCACGTGTATATGTCCTCCAGTGTCTCATTTTCTCGCTCATTTCCCTGCACTTCAAAATCAAGCCCATCTAGGCGCGATATATTTACCGCCCGGATGTGGCCTGTCTCATCGGTCTGGTGTATGTAGTAGTATGTGGCTAAATCTTATCTTGCTGCTCGCGTGTTATGTCTCTGGCACGTTTCGAACAGTGCATGTTTACTCTTGTAACTGCAAGTAACGAAGCTCACTACAGGACAGTCTTGTCAATGGATTGTTCGTGTGGAAAGGAACTAGTCTCCTGCAGTCGTACGTATCCGTCGAGTTTTCGGCTCTTGATGAGCGGAGCAACACCGTACAACGGTCCGTCTGCATTGGCAATTTGCAATGAACAATGCTCGCGACGGTTTGCACAGGACCGCAGCATACTTATGCGCGCAATACAGACTCGAGTACGTTCAGAAGGACGGTGCCCTGCTAGATGTCCCCCCGTACGTGCTGTGCTTGTACGCCGTATCTTCACGCATCTGATCAACACTCCGCCGGACAGACTGTCATTAAGCATGTCATTCACCAAGGCACGAATGCCTCGCACTCGGCGCCTTCGTGGTCGCATCTGCGGGCTGTTTACTGCGAGTGAGTTCTCTCGACTCTGGGCGAAACACGCTGAGGCCATCAGGTACAGTAAGTACCTCACGCTTCTTCATGGCGTCTTTCAGGCAAACTGTTCCGGTCCACTGTGGAGTTCGGCGATTATATCAAGATCTACTTACCATCCTTCTAATGCTCGGTCTCGAACTGTATGTGATGGGGTCTGCACTCTTCGTTTACCCAATGACCGGAAGGATGGAGAACGCGAAGACGTGTACCAGGCATGCTATCGCCGCTTCCTGGCTGAAGTGCTATTGATTTATGAGTGGGTGCCCACTGACATCACCGCTGTTCTCGTCTACACGTTAGTCACGATGAATTACTCTTCTCTATCACTCGGTCCGTGCCCTGGGAGAGTTCTCCCTTTATATGCACCTATTGACCACTGTCGGATGCAGTCTACTCAGCCTCTGACCACCACCATGTCTCTCGAGAACAAGTCTATACCTTACGGTGCGTCTCTCTCGGCGAGTGCTCTGATCATCACTCACTACTGGGGTACAGTACGCCTGGGAAAGTCCGGTCTGAAAGTATCGAAGATCATCCTGGGATGCATGTCGTACGGCAGCAAGGGCTGGAGCGAGTGGGTCATCGACGACCAGGAAGAGGTCACCAAGCACATCAAATACGCGTCAGTCAAGAGCCGTCCTCGTTCCAGTAGTTGCTTTGGACCTTTGGCTGATTGTACTGCAATCCGTGCGGCAGATATGATCACGGCATCCAGACATTCGATACAGCAAATGTGCGTGCTAGAGCTGCGGCTGAAAGGTATGTATTGTCAGCTGATGATGTCTGCTTGTAGGTGTACTCGAACGGTCTCTCCGAGGTCATGCTAGGCAAGGCTATCAGGGAACTCAAGCTTCCCCGCGAGGAGCTCGTCATCCTCACGAAGGTTACATCACTCAAGCCGAGTGCTAAATCTTGTATGTTGACCGTTTGCAGGTTTACTTTCCGCTAGCACCGAAGTATGACATGAACATCTTCGGCAAGAACACCGAGGACTATGGTGTAATAAATCAGAAGGGCCTCAATCGTAAGGTACGCGTATGCAGACTACTGCCCTGGACATAGGCGGGCGCATATATCGAGTACAGTCTGACACAAGATGTTCTATAGCATATCTTCGACTCTGTGAGGAAGAGCCTCGAACGCCTGCAAGCCGACTACATTGACGTCCTCCAGTGTAAGTGCATCTTGGTGGGGCACACTTGTCGTCGGCGCATGACTGAACGTTGGTTGATACAGGTCATCGGTTCGACTACGACACGCCGATCGAAGAGACGGTCTGTGGTTAAGTTACGATGTGGCACGATTCGGCCTTATCGTCGAACCTGTAGATGCAAGCCCTTCATGACGTCGTGCAAGCTGGCTACGTGCGATATATCGGCATGAGCTCGTGCCATGCCTATCAGTGTGCTTAAACCTTTCCTCTGACAGCGTCTAGCAGCCTACTGACGAGGATAATGTTCACAGTCCACGCGATGCAGAGTATGTACCCTCACCTTACTTCCAAACAGAGCACATTTTGACACTGCCCGTGCTGACAGACTACGCCATACAGAACAAGCTCACGCCATTTGTTTCCATGCAGAACCACCACAGCCTCGTCTACCGCGAGGAAGAACGCGAGATGTTTCCTACACTCAAGGTGCCGTTCCCGATTTCCCCGATCTCTGATATGTCTTCGTTCTGACGGCCTGCGGTTAGATGTTCGGCGTCGGCGCGATCCCGTGGTCGCCCCTTGGCCGCGGCATCCTCACTCGCCCGCTCTCCGCGCAGACGAAGCGCGGAGAGACTGACACGTTAGTGCCGTTTCCTAGCTCCACAGCCGCTCATGCTTATCTGGCCCTCCTTAGCTTCACAGGAGCGTACAAGACGTGGGCGGGCACCAGTGACATCGTCACTCGGTACGTTGCTCCGCCGCCAAAAGTGCTGTTCCTTGCTGATGCGGGTATGCAGGGTGGAGGAGCTCGCGGGCAAGAAGGGGGTGAGCATGGCCCAGGTTGCGATTGCGTGGAGCTTGGCGAAGGACGGTGAGTGCTCTTCGATTGTCTCTTTGAGTCGGGCGGAGCGTTCGTGTTATTGATGCGGATGCGCCTTTTGCGTTGCAGGTGTGACAGCGCCGATCGTCGGCACGACGAGCCTGAAGAACCTCGAGGACATTATCGGTGAGTCGTAGGTGCCCTGCGCGTCGTGTGAGCGGCGTGCTAACGGCTGGCGGACGCAGGCGCGATTAGCGTGGAGTTGACTCCGGATGAGATCAAGTATCTCGAGGAACCGTACAAGCCGTTGGCAGTGTATGGACATGTCTGAGGGATGGATGTTCAACATTTCGAATCAGTACTCCACAGGTAGCTAGATGACGGATGGTTCAGCGACCACATCATCTCGCGTTACCTTGTCAGACCTTGTCAAATGAGGCGAAGCGCCACTGCTCAGTCAAAATGTTCGGCGAAACGTAGCACATGTACTTATGTACGTGCCGCAGCGCGATTCCGCACTCAATGCTAGGCTGTAAGTAATGCTTACTTGCCACCTGCTTACCATGTTCCGGCTACTTACGTTTCGACAACCTCGCGATAAACATCGCAGCCGCCCAGTGTGACTGAGCCAGCGTGATCAACGAGACGGCAGAGATCGCAGATTCGTCAGCATGTCATCCTTAAAATCCGAGCCGGCCGGTGAATGCTTGTCCTCAACTCAGCAAAAGCTATACATAGGACGGTACGACGTGTACGGGCATCGAGTCTACGCCTTGATGGAAGAAGCCGCCTTGACGAAACTTCGGTTTATGTCGTGGGCCCGGGAGATATTTGTGTTTATATATGAGTCCTGACGACGCTTTTCTACCACTGCCATCCTGTCGTATCAAGAGTGATCTCTATATCTAACAGCCTAAGATGTCTCTCGAAAAGAAGTCTATGCCGTATGGTACGCCTACACTCATCCGCCCGTACTGGAGTACTGTGCTAACTAACGCTACCGCTGAATGTAGTTCGTCTGGGTAAATCTGGTCTGAAGGTGTCCAAGATTATTCTGGGGTGCGGGTCGTACGGAAGCAAGGGCTGGAGCGAGTGGGTCATCGACGACCAAGAGGAGGCCAATAAGCACATCAAATACGCGTCAGTCGAGCGCCCTGCTCATAGCAGTCGTTGCTCTGACTGACGACTCTACTTATGCGTGCGGCAGATATGACCACGGCATTCAGACGTTTGACACGTCAAATGTGCGTATAGACCCCGAAATGTGCGATGCACTGACCACTGAAGACGGTCATCTCTAGGTGTACTCGAACGGCCTCTCGGAGGTCATGCTCGGCAAGGCCATCAAGGAGCTCCAGGTGCCCCGCGAGGAGCTCGTCATCTTGACGAAGGTCAGTCCATGCATAGTGGAGTACTCGTCTGTCTATAGTGACTGCGGCCGCATGCAGGTTTACTTCCCGATTGCACCTAAGTATGATCTGAACCTCATGGGCAAGAACTCCGAGGACCATGGTATAATCAACCAAAAGGGCCTCGGTCGCAAGGTGTGTGGACTCAATCATTGGGTACTGACGGGTCTATATCATGGCATGGCTTGATATTTAGCATATCTTCGACTCTGTGAAGAAGAGTCTCGAGCGCCTGCAGGTCGACTACATCGATGTTCTCCAATGTGAGCGCCGGTATGGTTGAGATATGCTAGCAACGCTGATACAATGCATTGAAAACCACAGGTCATCGGTTTGACTACGATACGCCGATTGAGGAGACAGTACGGTGATTTCTCAACGGATGACTTGACCCCACATTTATGTATCATCCACAGATGCAAGCCCTTCATGACGTCGTGAAAGCCGGGTACGCCCGGTACATCGGTATGAATTCGTGCTATGCATATCAGTGTACGTTTCCCACATCTCTCGACGAAAACCAATCCTAACGATGCAATCCCGCAGTCCACGCAATGCAGAGTATGTGGCGTTGGTCAATGCCAGGTCGCCCCATGCAAAGGCTGACGTGACACCGACCATAGACTATGCCATCCAGAACAAACTTACACCCTTCGTCTCGATGCAGAACCACCACAGCCTCGTCTACCGCGAAGAGGAGCGCGAGATGTTCCCCACGCTCAAGGTTCATGCTACCGTAGGCCTCAGTCGATCTTTCTCCATGCTCACACGTTGCGTGTAGATGTTCGGCGTGGGCGCGATCCCATGGTCACCCCTCGGCCGCGGTGTCCTCACCCGGCCGCTCTCCGCCCAGACGAGGCGCGGGGAGATGGACGCGTCAGTGCCTCCCCTCCTCCGTGCACATCCATGGTCACTCATCCTCTTGCCCTGGCCGATTCCGCAGCTTCACAGGGTTCCAGAAGACGTGGGCGGGCACTGCTGACATCGTCACCCGGTGCGTTGGTCCCACCAAGTCGTGCTGCTGCTCGCTGACGCTGGAAACGGACGCGCGCAGGGTGGAAGAGCTCGCGGGCAAGAAGGGAGTGAGCATGGCCCAGGTCGCACTCGCGTGGACCTTGGCGAAGGACGGTGAGTGTTTGCGCTCTGAGTCGGGCTGGCGAGCGATCGCCCATATCGGAGCGTTCGTGTTGTTGACATGGACACGTTTTCTACGATGTTGCAGGGATAACGGCGCCGATCGTGGGCACGACGAGTTTGAAGAACCTTGAGGACCTCATCGGTGAGTTCACTCGATTGTTCACATGTGTCTCTTAAGTGTTCTGTGCTGCGCGCCGTCCGGGACGCTGGCTCGAGGAAGGGCGTCGTGTTACGACTCGCGCAAGTCATGTGTGCTGATGGCAGGTGAACGTAGACGCAATCAACGTGGAGCTGACCTCGGACGAGATCAAGTACCTCGAGGAACCGTACAAGCCGCTGGAGGTGTATGGCCATGCGTGAGGAGACGGGGCATGGAAATGTGATCTTGGCGATGGGTAGACACTGTACATGATAGACATACTAATTCACGACAAGTGACATGAGCACTCGGTGACGATGCTATCGAAATTGAACATCCTACTCACGGTGTACCGATGTAAGCACTAAAGAATAGTCAGGAGTCGCTGCGTCCCCGCAATGGCTCGGGTCTGAACAAATTCACAGGGAAGCTCGGACGTCTAGTCCCTCAGGATCCTATCGACGTGCAACTTGATGTTTCGTGCACAGTCGCAGGGAATGCCTGCATTCATCCATTTACTTACAAGCCACCTGTTGCCCTCATTGTATCAGTTACATACATCACGCACAACATTGAACCGGTCGTCGAGATTTCAACTTAGATGTTCATCCCCTCAGACATGGCCACAAACCGCCAGCGGCTTGTACGGCTCCTCAAGGTGTTTAATCTCATCCGGAGTCAACTCCACGTTGATCGCGCCTGCGTCCGCCAGTCATGAGCACTCACTGCACCACGCGCAGGGCAGCTATGACTCACCGATAATGTCCTCGAGGTTCTTCAGGCTCGTCGCGCCCACGATCGGCGCCGTCACGTCTGCAACGCAGAAAGCGCGTCCACATCAACACTACGAATACCCCGCCAGACTCAATGGGGTGATCAGTGATAAGCACTCACCGTCCTTCGCCAAGCTCCACGCAATCGCCACCTGGGCCATGCTCACCCCCTTCTTGCCCGCGAGCTCCTCCACCCTGCATACGTCATGTATACACATCAACGAGGAACAGCATGTTTGTGTCGGAGTAACGTACCGAATAACGATGTCAGGGGTGCCCGCCCATGTCGAGTAGGGTCCTATGAAACTGCGGGACGGCTAGGTAAGCACGAGCTACTGCGGAACGAGGAAGCGGCACTGACACGTCATTCTCTCCGCGCTTCGTCTGCGCGGAGAGTGGGCGAGTGAGGGTGCCGCGGCCGAGGGGCGAATACGGGATCGCGCCGACGCCGAACATCTACCCGCAGACCGTCAGAACGGAGGGATCTAGACGGCCTGACGGGGGAGAACGGCACCTTGAGTGTGGGGAACATCTCGCGTTCTTCCTCTCGGTAGACGAGGCTGTGGTGGTTCTGCATCGAGATGAACGGCGTAAGCTTGTTCTGGATGGCGTAGTCTGTCGGCGCAGGTACGATCTCAGCGTTGAGATGTGTTCTATTTGAGAGTAAGCCGAGGGTACGTACTCTGCATCGCGTGAACTGTGGGTGTTAGCTGTAGGCTGCTAGACGCAGTCAGATAAATCAGTCTACGCACACTGATAAGCATGACACGAGCTCATGCCGACATATCGCACGTAGCCAGCTTGCACGACGTCGTGAAGGGCTTGCATCTACAGGTTCGATGGTAAGACTAGCTCATACCGTATCGTGAGCCTCGTACATACCGTCTCCTCGATAGGCGTGTCGTAGTCAAACCGATTGCCTGCATTGCCCGACCTTCGTCAAGCCGCGATGTTGAACCCTGATGGCACTCACACTGAAGGACATCGATGTAGTCCACCTGCAGGCGCTCAAGGCTCTTCTTCACAGAGTCGAAGATATGCTAGAGGGCGTATGTCGTCGGTATATGTGCCGGCTTGTGTCTAGGGTGCCAGTACACGTACCTTGCGGTTGAGGCCCTTCTGGTTAATCACACCAAAGTCCTCGGGTTTCATGTAGCAAATGTTCATGTCGTACTCAGGCGCTATCGGAAAGTAAATCTGCAGACAGTCAGCGGCTTGAGGATGGTGACTCGGCTTGGGTGGTCTGACCTTTGTGAGGATGACGAGCTCCTCGCGGGGTAGCTTGAGTTCATTGATAGCCTTGCCGAGCATGACCTCAGAGAGGCCATGCGAGTACGCCTACAGCCATGCATCGTCAGTTGCTTGCACGGCGCATATTTCGGCTGTAACCCGCACATCTGCCGTATCGAATGTCTGGATCCCATGGTCATATCTGGCGCACCGACACGATCAGCTAAATATCTAGCGCAATTACTGGAGCAAGGCCCGCTCTCAACTGACGCGTATTTGATGTGCTTGGTGACTTCTTCCTGGTCGTCGATGACCCACTCGCTCCAGCCCTTGCTGCCGTACGACATGCATCCCAGGATGATCTTCGATACTTTCAGACCGGACTTTCCCAGGCGTACTGTATACCAGTAGTGAGTAGTGATTAGAGCACCCGCAGAGAGGGACACACCGTAAGGCATAGACTTGTTCTCGAGAGACATGGTGGTGGTCAGAGGCTGAGCAGAGTGCAACTGATGTCGTCGGTAGCTGGATATGAAGGGAAAACTCTGGAAAACCCGGTTATAGGCGGAGATGTCTGAACCTCAAATCCCATGGCTTCAGATCAGACATGGTGTCGAAGGACATCCATCCGGATGGAGGGATCAGGCCTTGCACGGCACAAATCAGTAGAGTGCGCGGGCTGTTGCTGCTTCTGGTGTGTGGGCAGGTGTCTACGAACTAGGTCATAGTCCGATGCGAAGCCATCCGGGGAGCGTGACCAGAGCTGATATATATCGTGGCCAGTAAACTGAGTATACTTAGTACATCCTCGTTACCACTGATTGCATGCCCACGGACCAGGCTCATGAATGCACCCATATCTGTTCAGACAACTCACTAGGCCTCTTCCGGCACAACCAAGTGTTTGTCTGCATGATATCAAGCACATCCTCCCTCCTTCCGACTCTACGAGAGCCCAAATGGGTATAAGGCTTTCCCACCAATAAACGGGGAGTCTACTAGAACACTCCCAGAACAAGCTCCTGGTGACAGAGATGAGTGATTGACACCGAGGTGATGCGAGTGGGTGCCCACCGATAACCGCAATAGTAGTACACACTTCAGCGTCACAACTTCATACCTACGAATCCGAGCTGGCAGTAGACCACGTCTTTACATTCCCCAGCCTTCCAACCATTGATTTGACCAGGACAACATCCGGGCAGACTTCGTGATAGAGTTCGAGACGGAGGGTTCACGCTCAAGGTTGGTATGAAGAAGCTCTCCTGGACAACCTCAGGACTGAGTCGCGCCCACGTGATCAACGCGACGCAGTTTCCCCGCCCGGCGCCGGACGTAGCGAACCCTTCATCGAATACAATGTGCGAATTCACCATAATCTTTCAGTCTGAGATCCGACTCTGACCTGAGGCACGTAGTGTTATCGTGAGCACTCCATCGAAACAACGCATTATATGATGAACTGGGTTTCTAGTAGATCTACAAACATGCGAGCCTTCTCAAATACATACTACCACGATTTGCATATACAGTGACACTGGGAGTCCGAGACTGACAAGAGTGAGCCGCATCCGCGCCGGGTTTGTCCTGAGATCTCAATCGTGCCCGAAGATCTCCAGCGGCTTGTACGGCTCCTCGAGGGACTTGATCTCCTCCGAAGTCAGCTCGACGTTGACCGCGCCTGCAGCAACACAGACCCATCAGCACAACAAGTCCGCAGCCAGTTGACCGCCCAGGGCACCCGGAAAGCGAAACAGGGCACTCACCGATGAGGTCCTCCATGTTCTTGAGGCTCGTCGTGCCCACAATCGGCGCAGTGATGCCTGCGTGGAATCCCCTGGTGAGTACGGGCGCCCTCACAGCCGCGCCTGACACTCACCATCCTTGGACATACTCCACGCGAGCGCGACCTGCGCCATGCTCACGCCCTTCTTCTTCGAGATCTCCTCGACCCTAAGTGAAATTCCGTCAGCACGGATGGACCAGGCTCAGTCTCAGCAGTGTGCCGTACCGGTTCACGATATCAGACGTGCCCGCCCACTGCTTGTACGGTCCCGCCCAGCTAGCGAGACCCGCGTCAGTGAAGAAGTAAGATACACGGTAAAAAGCGGAGGACACCCACCCGTCGGTCTCCCCGCGCTTCGTCTGCACAGATAGCGGGCGGGTGAGAACACCGCGGCCCAGGGGCGACCACGGGATCGCGCCGACGCCGAACAACTGTGTGGGGCGCGTCAGGAAGAAGGGATCATGCAGGGAGCACTCGCGGGAGTCGCACCTTGAGGGTGGGGAGCATCTCGCGCTCCTCCTCGCGGTAGATCAGGCTGTGGTGGTTCTGCATCGAGATGAAGGGCGTGAGCTTGTTCTGGATGGCGTAGTCTGTCAGCGAGGCAAGTCAGCAAGTTAGCGCGTCTTGCCTTATCGGCGTGCACGTACTCTGCATCGCGTGGACTACGGGAATGTTTGTGCGGTCAGTGTTGTTCGAGCGGTTAGAGGGAGTTGGTCTACGCACACTGATAGGCGTAGCAGGAACTCATTCCGATGTAGCGCACGTATCCCGCTTGCACGACGTCGTGGAGGGCTTGCATCTGCAGCATCATGTGAGTGCACATCCGCGGTACGCCACGGGATGATTACGAACCGTCTCCTCAATCGGGGTCCCAGAGTCGAACCGATGGCCTAACCAGCCCATTCAACTCCAATCAACGAACGCGTCATTTGCTATGGCACTCACACTGGAGGACATCGATGTACTCGACTTGCAGGCGTTCCAGACTCTTCTTCACAGAGTCGAAGATGTGCTACAAGCCGCTTGGCGTCAGCGTATGCGCCTCGGAACTCCGGGTCCCAAGAGATGCACACATGCCTTGCGGTTCAGCCCTTGCTGATTGATAATGCCATATTCCGCGGGGTTTGCCCCGTAGAGCAGTATGTCGTGCTTGGGGGCCACCGGGAAGTAAACCTATGTATAGTTAGCACGTCGCCAATGACCAGCTCAATCTGGACGACTCGACCTTTGTCAGGACAACGAGCTCCTCGCGGGGCAGCTGCAGCTCCTTGATCGCCTTGCCGAGCATGATCTCAGATAGGCCGTTGGAGTACACCTTGTTAGCAGACGGCTCTCAGTCGTCTGTACATCGAGTAACGTCAGGACATACATTGGCCGTGTCGAAAGTCTGGATTCCGTGATCATATCTGCCGTGAAGGATGTCAGCGCAGCCCGTCGTGCAGGGGCCGTGTCCCACTCACGCAAATTTGATGTGCTTGTTGACTTCTTCCTGGTCGTCGATAACCCATTCGCTCCAGCCCTTGTTGCCGTACGACATGCACCCGAGAATTATCTTGGATACCTTCAGGCCGGACTTGCCCAGGCGAACTATATAGAACATGGCAGCATTAGTACAATCTAGCATTCTGCGGATACAAACACACCGTATGGGACGGTCTTCTTTGCGACGGACATGTTGAAATGTTCAGAGGGGATAGTTAGAGGGGGAATGGGGTCGATGCTGGGTACCTCCCCACGAGGGGCTTAAATACTGCTCGCCGGGGCACTTCTGGTAGGCCTGGTGCATGCTTCCGGTATGACTAAGCAGAGAGGGACGGGCGGCGAAGACAGTGGGTGCCCGCCCGACGATCAAGCCAGCAAATGATGATTGTGAACTGCATGCCGAGCCAACTGTGGTACGCGTCCTTTGCTGTTCGCCGAGGATAACCAAACTGTTCCGACACTCAAACGACGCGGGAGTGTAGTTCAGTAAGTGATCGACGCTGCACTGCATTGGATCTTGATTTCTTGACTTACGAATCAGAGATTCAGACTCGGACTCGGAATGCCGCCACAGGTGGCAGTGATCGATTGATCCCTTGCTCGCGCGTTTGCGTTGAGTGGTGTCGGTGCCCGGCAGTGCGTCGCGACGAGTCCCCTTTACTACTTTCCTTCCTTTGCTACCCTCGAGCGGGCTTTTGAGGATTTGGATTGCTAGGGGTGGGGTGGTAGGCGATGGAGCATAAGCTTAGCGTCAATGGAGTTGGGCAACATCCTGTACGACATGATATCAAGTGACAGCGAGCACACAAAGCGAAGCAAGTGTGAAATGAATGAAAATCGACCAATATTTGAAAGCCTTGGGTGTACGAGCAAGGGAAACAGGGGTCTGTTCTCCTCCTCCTCCGGCCTCTCAACAAGGGCGCTTGTTAAGTCCACTGACTCGGAAGTGTCCCGAGTCGCTCGAGGTTCAAACGATCAAACGTTCAAGTTGTACGTTGAATAGAGTCAGAAGGTCAGATGGCACGCAGCCTCACGGTAAGTGTCCCCTTCGATGAGCGAGACGCGGATGCGTATCTTGACTGTATCCCGGGCCTCAAGGCCTCAAGGCTATCACAGCAGTACCGTGCGTCGATAGGGAGCATTGTGATAGTACAAACCCGGACGGCCTCGTGCTACTTACGTACATAAAGGGCGTACCTTCACTTCTCGACCGTCTGTGCTGGTCGGTAGCGTGTACGTCGAGCGATAGGCTCAGCGTACCCACTATGCGATCGTTCATGAGTAGATGAACGGGGCACGTCGACCGTGCGGTAATGCGCGTCCGTCGTGCCGCCTTGCACAGTTGGGGGGACGACCTAGAGGTCGTCCCACGGCACGAGAGTGCCATGTTCCGTGTTGCCAGAGCCGCGGGCCGTCAAATAGATGTCGCCAGAGTCGAGAGAAAGGCCTCCCGGGTTCAATAGAGGAGCGCGGAAGCGAGGGAGAAGGGTAGGAGGGGAAGGATTCGACGATCTTGCGTCGCCAGAGGGTCTGTCGGCCGCGCTGCTACATAGCTGAACTCGCGGTAGTTCAGCCAGACAGTTTCTGGCGATTTGAGCTCGCGTGTCCTTTGGGACGATGCGAGTGCAGTCTTGCCGCGCGGGCGGGTGGTCGTGGTGGCTGCCCGAGTCCTGGTCATCGTCGAGTCGTGGTGGCAGCCTGGCGCGCTGGGCGCTAGCGCTCGGCCCGGGGGCGCCCACCACGCTAGGCGACTCGGGCGTCTCTTCAGCGGACTCTGCGGAGGGCGAGCAGGACCGTTCGGAGTCGAGGACGCGTTTTAGCTCGTGGAGGAGGAGGAGGAGGAGGAGGAGGAGGAGGAGGAGGAGGAGGATCTAATCCCGCTTGACGCCGACATGGGTCTCGTTGAGTATGACGGCTCGGACACGTCTGACCAGGAGGAGGAAGAATGGGGCGGTATAGACGCGGACCAGTCGGTCAAGAAACGAAAGAGGACAGAGGAAGACGGCAAGAAGGGCAGGTAAAAGAAGCTGCGCTCACCAACATTTACGAGCTACGAAGACTACGCGCAGATGATCGAGGACGGGCCGGAGGACAACATGTAGCCTACTGCGTCGTTCTCGTATGCTTCTACGAGCGGACACAGCTTTAGTTTGCTCTATCATTATTTCCTGGTGACCGCCTCAATTGACATCATTTCCAGCCACCACAGGGGAAGTTCAAAGCAGCGATACTAGTGAAGTCATCGCCTACTGCCAAGATTCAATTCGTGGTGCTGACTTGGTACTGACTCGGGCTTTGGGTCCTGTGGCAGGGTACTCGTTAAGTTACATCCCCTTACCTTGCGCAGTATCTGGCAATGTTGAAGCTGCGACCCGCGTCGGAATCATGACCGAGAACTGAATGCGGTTGTTCTTGTTTCAGCGTACTTATAACCCGGTAGATTGAGGTATGCCACATCCGAGCATATATGCCTGACAGACCCATTTAACATATATGCGCATGACAGATACAGTCCTTCATCTACTTGATCTACTTGAATTTTGAGGTGTTAGTCCATGCACGGGTGAGCGTATTGCTGGCATGTAATCCGGTGCCACTCGAGATATACTCAAATCGGTTTCGTTTAGGCTTCGTTCAGGTCGCCTTCGCTGGATGTAGATGCTACGCCGCTGCGCGGCCATCGTTCGCGTTCACGGCACTACATCTCGTCCACCCTTGGAACGTGTGTCCATTCAACACTGACCTTCACTTTGCATTTCGCGTTGGGGTCCCTAAAGAACGTCCCCATCACGCTCGACCTGGGAGCGGGGGCGGGGGCGGGGCGAATAGCGTGCGGGTGCAGGCGGTGTACTCGGGCTTAGAGTTGGGTAACGCGTTTCATTCTGTCTCATTCGAACGTAGAGGGCCACGACTGGAGGGGAGTAGACGCATCTATGAACACGACGGCGACTAGTTGACTGCGATGACAGACAGGCCGAAGCAAGCTCTTGAGCTTGCTTATATGCACAGCATCGCGCGCGCGGAGACGGGCTCAGACAGCAGGCATCGACGTCCGAGCCCGCCTCTCTCATTCGCGCCGGCTGCCAGTGGCCCTGCGTGGAGCGTGTACAGCGATTACGCCGAAGACATGAGTGACAATGTCAAGTGGGGTGGTCGCGTGTTCAACGCTGTACCGTTTCTCGAGGAGATAGAATATGGCATGGAGAGGATGGGCATCGGCCAGGTATGTATGAGGGTCCGCATTCCTCATCATGCAGGGAGTGTCGCGTCGGACTCGCGACCGCACAGTGCTCATCTCTTGATGTGTAGGTGGCCGAATGAACTGGTGCGACGCATGCTGTGTAGATGCGATGCACCATAGTCCCTGGCTGGCACTGAATCGGATGCAAGCCTAGCCCGCGTGTCCCTTCCTCGGTTTATAACGCTGCGCAGCCTCGATCCCACGTCTATGTGGTCCACCTTGATTATCGATAAGTGTTCATTCAAGAAGCTCAAGGTTCGGACACTCGCGCGCGCTCACCAGACTCAGGCGCACTGCGCCCAGAGAGAGCAGTTCTCTCTATGCGATTTCCGTGCACTCGCCGCGGACTGCATGCGAGTAATGTGAGTACTGCCTTGCACAGTATTCGAGCCATAGCGGACTAATCTAGCGCTGACTTCACAGTGTCCACTGAAAGCAAAGGACTGCTTCCGACACCGTGCACTAATCTGTGTTCGAGGCTTCTATACGCGCCGATGAGCTAGCGCTACGTCGTATCGATGCATATATAATCACCTATCATTGCCTACGCTGTCCTTGCGTTCCCCTTTTCGTCCAGCTGCGCGCACCAAGAGTCATTGAACGGCCTCACGAGGTACGACTCCACCTTTCCCAACGGAAATCCTTACTGACGTCGTGTTTTGCTCGCAGCGTCGTGAGTAATAGACAGTCGTACTAAGCGACTCGCCAACCGACGACCGGGACGGCACATCTTGGCTTGTCCAGTAGCAAGCATACGTACCGGAACTCAGGTAGTGTGTTATCACATTAGCTTCTGGAGAGCCGTGATCTGAGACGATGCCAGTAGTAAGGTGTCTTCACCGTCGAGGATCGGCTTGGCCATCGCACACGTGCACGACTCCTTGCCACTTTCATCAGTGCGGCAGCTCTCTCGAATCGCCGTAGCGTATACTGCGTCCTGCGGAATGGACGGAGACGGGTTGATGTAAGTATCATTGTCCGGACGCAGGTGACATGGCTTACGCACAAGTGACACAGTGCAGCCGCAACGTCCGAATGCTCATCTCACGGACCTTCGATTCCACGGCTTCCTGTGGAGGTCTGTGAACGGATCATCGACTATATAGCTGCGGGATGGGATATCAAATACATTACTGCAACTGGCCAGCCACATCTGACTACTCTCACATCCTGCGCGCTCGTATGCCAAGACTGGTACTTCCTGACGTGGTACCATCTGCGTCGACGCATTCATCTCCGAGACCGGAAGGACGTCCTCTCGCTCTTCAAGACACTCCGCGCAAAACCGCGCCTCCGTGAGGTCATTCAACAGGTCGTTATATCAGGTGCCGCTCCTGGGGAACGTCAAGCAATTCGACACCTGGGGACGTTTGCCGCCCTGCTCGCGGGCAAGACTCTGATGTTGTCGAGTATCACCATTGAGGATGCTGAATGGACCATCGGCTCGGTCCGAACGGAGGACATCGACTACCTGGCTGCGTTCAGCTCCATTGAGACTCTGATCGTTCGCAATGTCACCTTGTCGAGCGTTACTCAGCTGTCCCGCCTCGTGGCAGCACTCCGGGGGCTTGTGGTCTTATGGTGCTACAATGTTGACTGCGTGCAGAAACAGCAAGTCTCCCCGGCTTCTCTCCCACTCAACTGTGCAAATCTTGAGGATCTCGGAGTGGTATGGGTTGCACCAGCCGTCGAGGACCTCTTCGTGCAAATCAGCCGGGCTTCTCGAGTGCGCAGTCTCGAAATTGGGGTGAACGGGGAGTTGGATCCATCCTCGGCAGCCAGCAGAAGCCAGAATTTGCTGGATGCGAGTTCTACATCTGCAGAATCGGCTGTGCTCTATATTGCTCCCGATTCTCCTGTTCGTGATGGTACAATCGAAGCCGTGGTCGGAAAGTTTTCTCAGTTGTCTATATGGCAGTCAATCGGCTGATTGTTTCGTACCTACAGAACGGCATTACAACCTTTCGCACTACGACCACCTGTGGAGGTTAGATATATTGCTGTACCACCCCTTCGCGCAATGGCCCTGGATTCCACATATCCTGTCTCGCATCACCTCGAAACACTTCCAGGCTATGTCTGTTACGTTGGTGCTTCGGAAAGACCACATGGTCGACGACTTGGACGGAGTGCTGACAACAATGGAGCAAGATGATGTCCTGGCACGATTGGACAGTATACTGCGGGAGAAGCGCTTCTCCAGTACTGTTCTGTCGCGCGGCGTCTGTCTGGGCATTGACCATGATTACAGCAGTTGGAAATCTGGCGATGAGCTTACTGGGATGGGTTCAGGACTCCGGGAACGGTACCATCGGTGGGACGAGTTCGTCAGGCAGAGGATGCCACACTCGCATGGACGAGGTATACTGACGTACGTAGTACTGTGGACTAAGCCAATCTGCGAAGAAAAGTTGAGTAACCCTTACAGCACTATCCATGACACACGGGAATACGACAACTGGGAAACGGACATGAAAGTGATACGTTCTAGCACGCTAGCTGAACAGACGAATGCCGAAGTAGAGGAACCCGAGGGTCGAGAAGACGAAGGTCCTCGAGGCGGCGCGGAGTGACGGCCTTGTCACCATGCATGCATGCTCGCACCGTCGCGTCCAGTCCGTGAGTATATGGAACCATCATTATTCAGCAACTTTGCTAATCTGTTGTACGGTCTCAAGGTATTGGACGACCCCGTGGCCACAACGCGGGTCGAAATATTCCTGATGTCGGGGAACACATGTACATCCACTCATGATCCTATGCAGAATTTTATTTTGATCTTTGGAGATGGAATGCTCAGCCGTGGTAAAGCTGAAATATATTGATCTACCTGCGACACGGTCAGAACGCTGTCACAGGTGATTAGTATGATGGTATGCGCCGTATTCGTAAAGACTTTCACCTCAGTCGTACAACTCGATTGAGGAACGAGGGGAGAAGGCGAGGCTGAGCGAGGATCATTTGTACGATTGAGCTCTGGTCTCAATTTCAGACGGTCAGTAAGTGTTTACATGTTAAAGTGAGCTGGGTTTCTGATGACTCTGCTTGTGCAATCATGCAATTCATCTGCGTACTACATATACGTACGACCCCCATTGTCCATCCCCAGACCTAGGAGCGCGAGATAGAAACGACCAAACCACACCCGCGCGCGGCCTGTCTCGGACTTGAGGTCCTCAAGCGAACCCAAAGACCTCAAGCGGCTTGTATGGCTCTTCGAGGGACTTGATCTCCTCCGGGGTCAACTCGACATTCACCGCGCCTGTAGCGACACGAGCCCATCAGCACAACTTTCATCCTACGAAAAGGCTGCCCTCTGGCCGCCCGTGGCGCTTCGAAAACGAAAGAGGACACCTACCGATGATGTCCTCCAGGTTCTTGAGGCTCGTCGTGCCCACAATCGGCGCGGTGACAGCTACATAGAATCCCCTGCTGAATACAAGAACTCTCATGACCGTGGCTGACACTCACCCTCCTTGGACATGCTCCACGCGAGCGCGACCTGCGCCATGCTCACGCCCCTCTTCTTCGAGATCTCCTCGACCCTGTCCGAGGAGAAACGTCAGTATGGAAGGCACTCCAGCTCCAGCGGATGTAACGTACCGGGTGACGACGTCAGACGTGCTCTCAAAATTCTTCATTGCTCCTGCCCAGCTAGTCAGTCCCGAGCCCGAGTCAGCGGCAGACTAGACTAAAGCGGAGGACACCCACCCATCGGTCTCCCCGCGATTCGTCTGCGCAGATACCGGGCGGGTGAGAACGCCGCGCCCGAGGGGCGACCACGGGATCGCGCCGACTCCGAACAACTACATGGTGTGGATCAGAACGAAGGAGTCGAACAGGGGAGCGGGTACCTCACCTTGAGCGTGGGGAACATTTCACGCTCCTCTTCGCGGTAGATGAGGCTGTGGAGGTTCTGCATCGAGATGAATGGCGTGAGCTGGTTTTGGATGGCGTAGTCTGTCCGGCATGTGCACGTCAGCATTCAATCGTGTTTTGCCTATAAGTCTGGCAAGGGCACGCACTCTGCATGGCATGGACTGCGGGCGCACTGCGTTAGCGTGCTATCGAGTTTGGCAAGCAGTTGGGAGAACGCACACTGATAGGCGTAGCACGAGCTCATGCCGATGTAGCGCACGTATCCCGCTTGCACGATGTCATGGAGGGCTTGCATCTGCCTCACTATGAGATGATATTCGCAGCGTGCCACCAGACAATCACGAACCGTTTCCTCAATCGGCGTGTCATAGTCGAAACGATGGCCTGCCAGTGGGCAAACTATTGAGCAACGCATGGTGCGTGTATCGTCATCTACGTCACTCACACTGTAAAACATCGATGTACTCGACTTGCAGGCGCTCAAGACTCTTCTTCACGGAGTCGAAGATATGCTACAAGCCGCTTGGCATTAGTATACGCGCTTTCGAACTCTCGAGAGATGCACACGCACCTTGCGGTTCAGGCCATGCTGATTTATGATGCCGAAGTCCTCGGGATTCGCCGCCAAGAGCGGCATATCGTACTTGGATCCCACCGGGGCATAGAGCTGTGTATATTGAGTTTGGTGCTGATAACAGGCTCAATGTGGATGACCTGACCTTTGTGAGAATAACGAGTTCCTCGCGGGGCAGCTGCAGCTCCTTAATTGCCTTGCCGAGCATGATTTCAGACAGGCCGTTGGAATATACCTTGAGCAGACGGCCCTCAGCCGCCCATACGGTGAACAACAGCCTTGTCAGCACGTACATTGGCCGTGTCGAATGTCTGGATACCGTGATCATATCTGCCGTGAAAGATGTCAGGGAAACCTGTCGTGTAGGGGTCGTGTTTCACTCACGCATATTTGATGTGCTTGTTGACTTCTTCTTGGTCGTCTATAACCCACTCGTGCCAGCCCTTGCTGCCGTACGACATGCATCCGAGGATGATTTTGGATACCTTCAGGCCGGACTTGCCCAGGTGAACTGCGTAGATCACAACAGCATCAGTGGGTACAATCCTGCATCCTGCAGATAATACATACCGTATGGCACGGATTTCTTTGCGACGGACATATTGGCTTGTTCTAAGGACTGTGGACACGGAATCGGGACAATGCTGAGAATCCTACCACTAGGGCTTAAGTACTGCTCGAGTACTTCTTGCAGGCCTAGTGCGTCATGCTTCCGGTATGACCAACTAAAGAAGGGGAAACTACGGCGAAGGCGGTGGGTTCCCGCCCGAGCGCTGGCAAGCAAACCAGTGACCATATACTGTGGACTGCATGCCGGGGAGCCGGCGGTGGTACGTATCCCCTTGCTGGCCGACGACAATGATCAGTATGCTATATGTGACGCTCAAACGACGCGGAAGACGATCAGCTTGTCCACAAACTACTTCAAGTTAGCGGACGCAGTACATCGTGCCCACGTGACACGCTCGTTGCGTTTCGTTCTCGTCGAATCTCGAGTCTCGACTCGTTTGTGACTTCAATTGTGGTTCAGTTGTGAGTTACAGAAGTGTCTGATATCAAGCAAGCACAGTGACATCGCGACTCAACTCGCAGACAAACTTGAAGTCAACGCTGCCGATCTCCTTCATGTCCAATTACGGTTTTATCGCACAGCCTGAGTTGTAGTCCACACAGGAAGCTGCACAAGCGACACTGGCAGTCGAGCTTCACGACAACAACAGCAACGTTGTGCATCATCTGCTGCAAAACGGTGTGAGAGCACCGCGACATGTGCTTTCAATGCGGTCAGTCTCAGCACTCAGTACTCAGTAGTGACTCGGCACTTACGATCTGCGGTGTCGCCGTCGAGGACACCGGATGGATGTCTGTACAGCACTGGCATCGCCCGACTTGCATCACACGAGCACTCCGTGACTGCATTCAATCCAACGAGTACCTGGACCCGACTTACCCAGGTTTCCTCAAATCGTCAATAGGAGGGTGCAGATGATCTAATTCGAGAGGAAGTGCATCGTGGGTAGCGAGGGTGTTGGGTAACGGGAATATCTCACTTTATCTCAGGAATCGGAGAATCCTGCAGTCTCGTCACCTCTCGATCGCTCGAGGAGCTGTGATCCGCCCGGGGCGCTGCGATACGCCGAAGGTTCTTCTGTATGCTGCATGTGAATACCGGAATGTCTAAGTTTAGTTTCCCTTCCCTTCCCTACCGGGGTTGTCGCTGAGATCTGGAAACGACAGCCTGACTCACCACCCATGGTGATTTATTGCGTGAAGCTGAAGTCACCTGCGACGCAGTCTATTCTGCGCTTTCATACCTAATATTACACTTGTGTCTGGTCAATCTTCTGCACACGGAAGTCTTTCGTCTAGAGCAGAGGCAGTATCTTGTCCGCTGCGCAGATGGTCAACTGGGACGTGACGGGCTCCACGGCGACGTGAGTGACAGTATCGCCCTCAGTCACAAGCACGAAACGCTGTATACGCCTCAATGTGAGAACTGGAAAGCTACTTGCGGAATAACATACCTTCGATCGCGGCGCACCGAGTAGTTCCGACGCATCGAAGAGCATGCCGAGGGAGCCAACGAACGCGCCCTTATCATCCGCGACGAAGTGAATGGCTGGAATGACAGACATGAGCACTCGCTCACACAGAGGGGACCTGAAATAACACGTACGCGTTCCGCCGGGGGCGAGTTGCTCCTTCCATGCTCTGGGAGTACATATGAGGCACAGTCAGGCCCAAATGGAGCAAACGTACTTCAGTGTGAAGACGTCGTTCACAGCAACAACATAGACATTGTCAATGCCCTTCTGCTTGAACTGGTCATAGGCCTTGATGTATCCGGGGATCTGTGCACTGCACGTCCCAGTGAACGCTCCGGGCACACCGACCTATGCATTCTACTTTAAACGCGCTTTTGTACATGTCGAAAATCGGATAGCGTACAAATACGTTTCTTCCCTTTATTCCCTCAAGCGTAAACGTTTTCGCTGCTTCCTCCTCCTTCACCGGAACTTTCGTGGGGATGGTAGAGCCAGGCTTGACCTCTGCCGCGGTCATGAGCGAGACTGCGGCTGAATGTGCGGCTTGAGTGGCAGTAGAGAGAAGAGACGCCATGGTAGAGATGAACGGAGGGAACAAAGTTGGGGAGGGTGGCAAAGACGCGAAGATGGTTTATATAGACGTGGATTGGCCGTGGATCGCCTGTGCCACCTTCGTCCATCGCGTGAGGCTCCTCTTCCCCATACCACATCTATCTCGATTTTTCCCACGCTCGGAAAAAGAGGTAAAACGGTAGATGAGTAGAGCTAAAGAGACCCACGAGGGGGTCGGTGGAGATCATAGGCATCAGCCCTATCCTACACGCACGCACGAGGGCGATCCAAAGAGCCAAGGACACCAGGTTGAGGGAAAATCGAGAGGGAAGTCTGAGAACCCGGCGCCAATTCCGACGACGCCGAGTCGGGGACGAACCGTCCTCGAAAAAATCTCTAAGACTATCAGAAGATCACCCAAACCACCAGCAGCTGCCATGTTAGGCATAGAACAAACCTATGAGACCGATAGCATCGAGGAAAATGAGACAGAGGAGGATAGGGCGAGTATGGAGTCGCCGACCCCAAGACCGAGTAGAAAGACCACAGACGTGAACATGATCGAGGACACTGACGACCTGTTCAGCCCAAAGAAGAAAAAGGGAGACGAGAGCATGCGCAATATGATCCTCCTTGAGGAGGCACTAGGACGCGCGGCATCCCTCTTAGAAGAGATGTCCATCCATGCTGAGTACACAACCACAGTTACCGAACACGCTGAAACCATTGCAGAACGACTCACCAAACCGAGAGAACCGCAGGTAGTCCCAACGACTAGGCCGGCGTCGCCAACGCCGCCCACCGCAAGCGCCGAAACGAAGCTACTGGACAGCATAGCGAAGACGATCGACAGACTGGCGACTCGGATGGACGCCATGGAGGCCAGGAACCCAACCTCCACCCCCGACACCATCTATTCAGAGGACGACACAGCCACCATAAGGACGACGACCACCAAAACCACGAGGGACAGGCCGACAGTCCGCACAGTGGTAGCGACCTCACAACCCATCAAACCGAAGCCGAGAGCACCGCCACGCCAGTCGCTCAACCCGCTGTCGGCGCACCATCACACGCGCTTGATAGTGGAGATGAAGGACAGCCCGACGGAGAAGGAGAGGCCGAGCGAAGTGGAGATCGTAAAGTACATCAACGAGATACTCAGAGGGAGCGACGAGAGTAAACACCTGTGGGTGGTGAACGTGAAGTTCAACGCCCACAACAACTGCATCATCTTCACGCGGTCTGACCTGTCGGCAGGGGAGCTTGCTCCTTTCGCGCCCAGTTTTGTAGGATTCTTCGCAGGTGACCGAGCGACAAGGATACGGGCGGACGAGAAATGGTTTAAGGTACAGTTAAACGGGGTCCGCACGCACAATGATAGCACGGGAGATATCGCAACTCCGGAGGAGGTAGAGGCGGAACTCCGGAGCCTGAACCCGGACTACGCCAAGATGGCAGTATGGGATCTTCCACGCTGGATGAGACACAGGGGAGACCTACTGACCAGAGCATTCTCGTCCGTCGTCCTCGCCCTCAAAACCCAAGCCGACGCCGACCACTTGGTGAACCGAGTGAAGAACATGGCCATAGCAGGCCAGTTCGCAGATGTTAAACGCTACGCTGACAAACCCCGGTGTTACAGTGCGGGCGATGCTGGGACTTCGGGCACACACGATCGCGCTGCCACGGAGCCGAAAAGTGCCGGATCTGTGGTGAAACGGCGCACAGTGAGGAGAACCACGTCTGCAAAGAGTGCGAAAGTGCGAAACCGGACGGAGACACGAACATGGAGGAGTGTAAGCATGATTACAAGTGCGCTAACTGCAACGGTCCGCACTCAGCAAACTGGCGAGAGTGTGCGAGCCGGGCCAGAGCAGCGGGCACCACGAAGTCCAAGCCGTCACGCGTACCGGAAGGGGTAAAGACCAGCTCCGCAGGTCCAGGGTGGAAAGAGGCACGAGGCCCAAAGTCAACGCCAAACGCCAACAAGGGCCAGGCGGAGGGAGCACCAGGGCCTAGCCAGGCACAACGCAAAGAGGACGCGCGGACCAAGAACCGTTACGAGGCCCTCAACCAAGAGAAGGCTAAGAACGACCTGGCGTCGCTAGAGAAGCGTTTCCCCCAGTTTGACACATCGTTCTGTCAAACCGCACTAGCAATATCTGACGACGATTTCACAGCAGCAGTTGCATACGCAGAGAGTAGGCTCTCACCAAGCCAGATCGCAGCAAGAATGCGAGACCAAGAGAAAGAACAAGCAGAGAGCCTCTCGGCGGCGTCAGTATGATAGACACAACGAAACCAATCCGCGTGCTCCAACTCAACGCCAACAAGCAGAACCCAGCGATCCATGCGCTGCTCAACACGGCAACAGACGAGGACTCGGCCGACATAGTCCTCGTCACCGAACCGTGGTGGGGTAACATAGGAAACGACACGAAGGGACCAGTATCGGAAGCGGCCGCGGGCTGGACGCCGATACTCCCAGTCTCCGCAGTGCCAAAGGGGAAACGTCCCAGAGCCATGGCGTACACGCGCCGGCGAGGGGACTTTTCAGTAACTCTACGCTCCGACATTGCTAATGACCTTGACATGCAGGTGCTCGAGATCGCCCAGGCCCCGCACCCTCCTACCATTATCGTCAACATCTACAACGATGACAAGAAGGAGGGAACGAGGTCAGCAGCGAAGAGACTCCAGCAACTCGACATCCCAGCAGAGCTGCCAGTCATCATCTCGGGAGACTGGAACCTCCACCATCCACTCTGGTCGCGCGTAGCGGACCCGGCCAACGCGAGGACGGACCAAACGGTGGACTGGCTGACGGAAAAGGGCTACATGATCAAGAACGAGAAAGGCGAACCCACCTACTTCTCGCACGACCACCGAACGCAGTCGACGCTCGACTTGACGTTCACCAACCCGAAGGCGACAGAACTCGACACGGCGCGGAACTGGCGCATAGACCGGGACATGGCGTTCGGATCGGACCACTTCGCGCTGAGGTGGGAGATTGACCACGGAGCGGAGGAGATCGACAATATCGCAGGAGAGCGATACAACTTCAAGGACACGGACCCGAAGGAATGGGGAAAGGCGTACAGGGCGGCCCTACAAGACCACAGCCTGGCCCTCAACCGCCTACAAGATTGACGGACCATACTCACGCCAGA